AATCTTAAAATGAGCCATCAGTCCTGGCAAGTTTGTATTACCATGTAACAAGAAAATACGGGTTTTGTTTGTTTTCTAGTCTTAAATTATAATAAACTTTATTCTTCTATGAGTGGTATGTATATACAGTTGAATCTTCAGCATTGTTTTTTTAATTCACAATTTTCAGGGTTTACTTTGCCTGTTTTTCCTTTTTGTAAGTAACAAAATAATCCCTTTAGGTTTATACTTCTTTCTATATCCTCCTTGTAGCAGATCTTTTCTAGTTCCCATCTTTAAATTAAGCCAAAGGATTACCTTTACTTGTAAGATGTCAGCCAGAGCTCTGATGCCCACTTTTTTCCTTGGTTCCTATCTCCCTAGTCCTGTCTGAACTATCTGATAGATGCTGGCTTTCTCTTTAAGTCATAGGTCCCTTCTCTCAGGGGAATTATTTCTAATGTGGCTGTGTTCCACTGTGCTGCCTGGTTGTTCTTCCAAAGTATATGATAATCTGTTTATTCTTTTATAATTAGCAGGTGTGGGAGAGGTTGTTTTATTTTATTTTTGCCTAGAAATAGTATCTTTTTTTACAACTGGTCTGTTTTATGAAATTATTTTAAATATATTATAATTTCTAATTATAATGCATGGATTGCTTATGAAAGTCATCTTCCTAGATAATTGAGTAAGTAATTAACTATACTCATAATCTCCACATTAGATATGAAGTAGGAAGTTATTTGTTATCATAAATTGAGTTAATACACTTGGAATATGTCTTAAAATGTAATTGATAACCTTTGTTCAAAATGAGAATTTCAGTCTGTGCTGACATCCTTGATTACTTTGATAGATTGTATTAGATAGAGACACAAATAAATATATAGATATAGATGGAGTGTGGTTATTGGACGTGGAGACATAGAAAGGACAGTTACTGGGATTACTGGGAGAGTACATAATTAGTTTATAAAAGCTCCCAGACCAACCTATCCCTCTACAACAATCTGACATCTGGAGAACCTGACCATCACTCTCTGAGAAGTTATTCTAACAAGAAAGTTACATAAAACAATGAGAGAAGGCAGATAGCCCTTTTCCTGAAATCTGAAATTACAGTGTTCTTTCCTGTGTTCTGTCTTGACTAATCCTCTCAGTGCATGCTGCATTCTCCTCACCTTTTCTTTAGAACTTGGCTTAAATCCCATCCCAAGCCTGTGTGCTTGGCTCTCTTCCTTTCTGTGTTTTCCTGAAGACTTTGAATGTTTAAAGGAGAGGTTATACTCAAATACCTACTGGAATCTCACAAGTAACCGTGGGTGGGATTTATGCGGACTGGGATGCCCATGGCCCAATCTAAAGGCAGCAGCTCATTCTTGGCTTTGACCAACGGTAATGCAGTTTTATTTTTTCCAGAGCTTCCAGATTTTCCGTTCTGGAAATCCAGATACATATGTAATTTTTTAAATGTAGCCAATTAATTCACATTTTATAAAGAAAAAATAATGGGCCAAATGTATGTTGGCCAAAATTGGCCCACAAGCCATGAATTTGCAACCAGTGTTTCAGGACAATGATTTCTATTTAGCAATGCATAATAAAAATCACTTCTGGAGCTTTTTTTTTTACTATATATGCCTAATCTTTAGTGCCAGTAATGTAGCTTGAACAGTTTTAGCGGAATGTCCCATAATGTCAGTACTACCCCTCTCTTGTAACTGAGCATTGCCACTGTTATGCCCATAACAGATTTGGCTCACTTAAGATGTTGCTTTACAGATCAGGCTTGAGTTTGTCCCTGTTGTATATTTTAGAACTGTTATATATTAGGCTGTTGACTGGACCAAGAATAAGTTGCTCTAATTCCATTCCCTTCTGATCTCAACCTTATATTATGCCCTATAGATCTGTAGTTTTGAGGCTGTTTCCTGGGTGTGATAGCTATATGCAAAACTAGAAAAAAACTTTCTATTCACCTGGCCTACATGGTTATACTTAACCCTAAGCAAGGAATTGAAACCTATTGATTGGTAGATGTGGAGTCCAGTGACTTCTGATTTTTGTAAAGTCGTGGAGGCTTTTGATAACTGCTTTTTAAAAATGTCACATCTGTGAGGCTGTGCCAGGGAATGTCCATCTTTGTGTCCTAATCCCTTCCGGCAGGCCATGTTTGAGGTCCATGTCTCTATTCTCATCTGTGGGAACATTTTTCTGGATTAGCAACACTTGAATGTATTGGATCTTAAAGGCTTGGGCTCTTGGCAGTTGAAACTAGTAGAATAAAAACTATTGTGTTTGGGGCGCCTGGGTGGCTCAGTTGGTTAAATGACTGCCTTCGGCTCAGGTCATGATCCTGGGGTCCCAGGATTGAGTCCCACGTCGGGCTCCCTGCTCAGCAGGGAGTCTGCTTCTCCCTCTGACCCTCCCCTCTTCATGTGCTCTCTCTCTCTCTCATTCTCTCTCTCAAAAAAAAAAAAAATATTGTATTTGGTACCTGGAATCCCTGACCATGAAGGTAGACCTCAAAGAAGGCTTTGCTGAAAAAGAGAGGTATGTTCTTTGATGCAGTCCTTACAGACTTATCAGAATTTAGAGTATTTTGTTCCCTAAAGACTTCTATGTAGAAAGTTAGACTGAGTGGGCATTATGGTTTTCCTACTTATTTAATGATTGAGTTTTATGAAAATTCGGAATGACTGTATTTTCTCTTAAGAGGAACTTCCCTGGAGGACCATACAGTTAAACCATTTATTATTAATCCTGGGTGACTTCCTTGGCACTAATAAAATTTTTGGCTTCATTCCCTGTATCTACCAGGTATTTAGCAGTGAGCCTCTAAGTAAGCTTCACACCTTCTCTACCTAGGGAGAGCATATGTATCGAAGAACCACTCTGACTCTAATTTCTGAATCCATTTTCTTGTGATAAATGATGCTGTGGTAGCAAATTACCCCAATTTATAGAGACGTAATAACAACAAAGGTTATTTCTTTCTTACATTATATGCACATCATGGATCATCTGTGGCTCTACTCCATGTCATGTCCATTCCAGGACCCAGACTCTTGTTTGGGGCATGGCTATTCTGATGGCCAAGGAAAAAGAGAAGCATAATGAATCATGAGCTGTTTCTTAAAGTGGCCTTTCAAAACTGACCACTTCTACTCACATTTCTTTCTTTTTTTTTTTTTTAAGATTTTATTTATTTGCGAGAGAGAGTGAGAGACAGAGAGCATGAGAGGGAGGAGGGTCAGAGGGAGAAGCAGACTCCCTGCCGAGCAGGGAGCCCGATGCAGGACTTGATCCTGGGACTCCAGGATCATGACCTGAGCCGAAGGCAGTCGCTTAACCAACTGAGCCACCCAGGCGCCCTTCTACTCACATTTCATTGGACAGAGAAACTCATATGGCCAAGCCTAATAATGTCAGCCGGAGAGGGTAGAGACTGATTTTTGAACAATAATACAATCTAATGCAGTTCCACTTCCTCAAGACCTTACAGCTTATATCTTAGGTATCTGTTGTCACTCAATGAAATCTGTGCCTGAATAGTACAGCCAGCAGCCATGCAACTTGACACAGCAGCTGTCAACTCCCTTCTGAGACCTTAGGCATTGGGACAGTAATTCTTTTATTTTTCCAAAGACCTCCTGGCATCCCAGAGATAAATAATAACCTCAGAAATGGTCACTGCTGTTACCAAGAACTATTTCCCCTTGCCTTGCTTTCCTCACTTCTACAACCTCCATGGATGCATGCTTCCTAGGATGCAAGTTGAACCACTGGTTCCCCCTTCTGGCCTTTGTGAAAAACTCACAAGTAATGTTATTACATATACTGTGCTGGTTCTTAAAAAAGCTAGTGTTTTTACTTTGAAGCTTCTCCTACCTAGCTCTTTTTATCAATTCTTGCTGTCACAAATTGAGGCTTATGCTCCCTAATGTTAATTGGATTTTGTTTCTTTAAATTACATACTCCAACAATGTCTTACCCATTTTTATCTCCTCAGTGAGCTCAGCACTCTTACTCAGATTCTAATCTTTGTTGCAGTATTGAGTTCATTACTTTTGTGAATTGTGTTTTATTTCCTTTTTTTTTTTTTTTTAAAGACTTTATTACTTATTTGTCAGAAAGAGAGAGAACACAAGCAGGGGGAAGTGGCAGGTAGAGGGAGAAGCAGGCTCCTCCCTGAGCAAGTAGCCCAATGCGGGACTCGATCCCAAGACCCCAGGATCATGACCTGAGCTGAAGGCAGATGCTTAACCGACTGAGCCACCCAGGCATCCCTTGTGTTTTATTTCTTAGTAAATTGGGCCAATCACAAGTCCTCTAGATTGTACCAGGTGTTTTATCTGTGGAATGGTTCAACTGTCAATTCTGATTTCTCTTTGCCTGCCTTTTTCCCTGGCTACCCATGTGACTCCATTGATAACCGTATTTTAAAAAAGTGTTTTAGAAAGGTGTGTATACTGTTATAGTAGATTAATGGATATCTTCATCGTGATACCCTTAAAGTGTATTTGATTATTATGTAGAATTGTTTACAGATTTGATAAAGTAGGGAATTCGATGTACTACTTAAACTTCAAAGTTAAGAAAGATTTCATTAAGCAGTAGCACTTGTAAATAAAGTATTTAAAACTTGTCCCCCAGTAGACATTGTAAATATCTGAGTTGCTTGACCCTAGCTTTTATTTTATTTTGTTTTGTTTTTGACCCCAGCTTTTTTTTTTTTTTTTTTAAGATTTTATTTATTTACTTGACACACAGAGAGAGAGCATAAGCAGGAAAAGCAACAGGGGGAGGGGCAGAGGGAGAAGCAGGCTCCCCACTGAGCAAGGAGCCAGAGCCAGATGCAGATGCAGGGCTTGATCCCAGGACCCCGGACCACAACCCAAGCCAAAGGCAGACGCTTAACCAAATGAGCCACCCAGGTGCCCTGACCCTAGCTTTTAAAATAACAGTTTCAGAAGACAGCTTCCAAAATACTTTTTTTTTTTTTCCTTTTTCCTGTCCAGATCACAGGAGACCCCTGGAGATGGGCAGCCTCCAGCTTTACCACCCAAACAATCAAAGAAAAACAGTTGGAACCAAATTCATTATTCACATTCTCAACAAGATCTGGAAAACCATATTAACGAAACATTTGATGTTCCATCGTCCCCTGAAAAATCTACTGTAAGTAGCTTTCAGATATTCTCACATTTCTTTGAAATGTTTTAATCGGAAGTGAAGTTTTTTTATACTGTGATATGTTTTGTCTGTAAATTATATTATTGTACTTTCCCTTTTTCATCATATGTTCATGAATTTTGCCATGATATAACCCAATTGTGGAATTTCCTTTTATCATTGCTCTAAAAGTTCATTCTTGACAAATTTATGTTGATTTTAGTCTTGCAAAACACACATTTTTAGAAAAATGCTAATAATGCATTGAATACCACTAACTTTGTAATTCTCTGGATGCGAGACTATCATTTTCATCAATCTTTTGAAATTGAGTACAGGTCCCTGGAGTATATGATCAGTCTCTGTTTTATAAAATATATTTATGAATTATGTTGGTATTTTTCCTTTAGAGAACATGCTTTTATCACAACAAAATGGTAAATTTTTAGAAATCTCTGATTTTTGAGTTTTCATTGCTTTCTCAAGTAGATGTAAATAAACCAAAAGTGAGATTGTCAGTAAATTTTAGGGATACACTGTGTTCATGAAGAAGTATCAAGACAGACAAATACGGGCGTATTTCAGGAAACTTGAAGGGACATCAGGGTAAGGTGCAGAGAGTGAAGGGTCCACAGCAGGTATTGGCAATACTAAAAGTTTCTTGTGAGCATTGCTCTCATAGCCCTCTTGTATGAAAAGCAAGAGGCAGCCACTCTCTTCTCCCACACTTATTATTCCACCACCACAAACACGTCAAAAAAAGATCAGAATCCTTACCAAAAATTAACAACAACTGTGATGTTACCTGTGTTGTGATTCTCATGTATCATTCATTGGTTCATAGTCATTGAGGTCTTTCTGTTACGGCGTACTTTGGAGGGTAGTGGGAATATAAAGACAAATAAGACATGGTCCCTGCTGTTAATCTACAATCTAATTTATTTGTCCATTCATGCAAAAATTAATTACTGAGTACCTGCTATGTGCCATGCATTATTATAGGCGCTGGGGATATAGTGGAATAAAAAGGGGGGAAAAATGCAAAAAACTCTACCTTCAAGGAACTTACATTCTGGGGGTAAGGGTGAGACAAACAGTAAACAAGGTAAATAATTTAAATATATAGCGTATTAGATTAAGAAGAAAAATAAAGCAGGAAGAGGCCAGAGAATTTCAAGAGTGCCACAACTTTAAATAGTGTAAGCTGGGGATGAACTCACTGATGAGTCATAGAGATAACTAGTGGAACAGCAGGTGAGCTGAGGGAATAGACGTACAAAGGAGTATGACTGATAACGTTCAGGGAACAGCAAGGGAGTCAGTGTGGCCAGAGCAAAATAAGCTAATGAAGAGGAGGAGAGGGTCAAATCCTAACAACATTGAAAGATTTTGTTTTTTAACCCTGAGTGAGAGAGAAATCAGAAGGAGTAGGACATATCTGAGGAGAAAAGCAGCATGATGTCACTTAAGTTGTAACAGTATCGTTCTGGCTATTGTATTGAAAATAGACTGAAAGCAGGGTAGAAGTAAAGAAACTGGTTGTGAGGTAGTACAGTATTCCAGGGCTGTGCTGGTGATTTGGATCCGGATGGTAGCAGTGGAAGGAGAATGACATGGCTGTATTCTGGAGTTTGAGAACAGAGCTAACACAATATGCTGAGGGATTGGGTGTGTAGTATTGGGGAAAGAGAGGAATCAAAGATAACAGCAGTTTTTGGCCTGGACAACTAGGAGGATGAAGTTGCCATTTTCTGAGATGTGAAAGGCTACAGGTATACACAAGTATAGGTGGAATATCAGGAGCACAGTTTGGGACATGCCAAGTTTGAGATGGCTACTGGAAATCCATTTACAGATATGATTCTGGAGTTGAAGGGAGAGGTCCAAGCTAGAGTTGTAACATTGAGGTTTGGTGGCATGTAGACAATATGTAAAACCACAAGACAGGAAGACAACACCAAGGAAGTGTGGTGTGTGCAGGTAACTAAATAAGAGGTTCTAGGAAGTGAGCCTTTGGCCCTCCAAAATGTAAACATTAGGGAGATGAAGAAACCAGCAAAGGAGACTGAGAAGATGCAGACAACGAGGTAGGAAGAAAACTAGTCCACTGGCATTAACTGGCTGATGGGAAGAAAGTCACAGAGAGAATAACCAGCTTTGTCAGATGTTACTGGTAAGTCAAGTAGGATGAGGGCTGACAGTTGAGCACTGGATTTAGCAATGTGAAACTCTTTGGTGACCTTAATTAGAACAGTTTTGATAGAGCATTGGGGATAAAAACATGACTCTGGGAGGATGGGATCAGGGTAAGTAGAGACAGCAAATGTGGCCAACTCTAAAAAAGTTTAGCAGCAAGAAGGAGACAGATGGGGAAGTAGATAGATGAGGAAGTAGAGTCCAGAGAAAGTTCTTTTTTTAAGGGGAGAAATAAGAGTTTTTCTCAGAAGGGTGGAGAAAATTGATAATGTAGAAGCGTAGAGAATTGCTAAAGCAAAATCCTTGAGTTTGGAAGAGGGCCTGGATCTACAGCAAGGAGGAAGACAGTTTGAATAATTAGATAATTAGAAGTGATTATAGGGAAGAATATACAAATAACTAATGCAGATGTAGGGTTACGGGAAGACTTCCCAAAGTGAACATCTCTGACCTGTGTCTTGAAGGATAAGCAAGAATTAGCCAGATACTTCCCCTGAAAGAGCATGCATAAAGCATGTTCAGTGAAAGAAGCCAGTAACAAATGACCATGTGAGATGTCTACAGTAGTCAAATGTATAGAGACAAAGTAGGTTAGTGGTTGAATAGGACTTAAGGAATGGGGGTGAGGAGATGGGAAATGACTGGTAATGGGTACAGGGTCTCTTTGGGACATGATGAAAATATTTTTAAATTAAATTATAGTGATGTTTCTACAACTCTATGACTATAGTAAAAATTATTGAATTATACACTTTGGATGAAGTGTATAGCATGTGAATTATATCCCAGTAAAGCTGTTTTTAAAAAGCAGAGGGAGGGGCGCCTGGGTGGCTCAGTTGGTTAAGCGACTGCCTTCGGCTCAGGTCATGATCCTGGAGTCCCGGGATCGAGCCCCACATCGGGCTGTCTGCTCCGCGGGAAGCCTGCTTCTCTCTCTCCCACTCCCCCTGCTTGTGTTCTCTCTCTTGCTGTGTCTCTCTCTGTCAAATAAATAAAATCTTCAAAAAAAAAAAAAAAAGAGGGAGGAATGTGAATTCATATAACACTTAGGAACACTTATTGTGTGCAGAGCTTTGAGCTGGGTTCCAGGGGTACTGCAATTAATAACTTAATTCATAATGCCTGTTCCTCCTTGCATTTAGCCTAGCATGCAGGGGCAAGAAGGCTATATCTAGTTGGTGTAACTGCAAGTTATTAGTCAAAATTTACTTTCCTGAATTAACATTTGAATTTAAATTATGATTTTGTATGCACTATAGATAATATCAACATACAAAAAGCATACATCATGTATATCTTTGAAGGAGAAATTATAAATGGGAAAAATTACACGTTATTTACTTTTGTCTTTTTAAGCCTAATGGTGGTATTCCACAAGATAATCTTGTTCTAATCAGAATGAAACCTGATGAAAATGGAAGGTTTGGATTCAATGTAAAGGTAATCTAGAATTTACATTTTACTCAGTTTTTAAATTAAGATGTTATCTATTTTGGTAATATTTGACTGATATCTGACTTGCTCTGTTGTTCAGGGAGGATATGATCAGAAGATGCCTGTGATTGTGTCCCGAGTAGCACCAGGAACACCTGTGAGTTATCTAAATCTTGCAAGTAAATCCTGTTTTCAAGAAAATGTACTCATTTTATTTTTATTAGTTTAAATAAAGGAATGAATTAATCATTTCTTTTAATTTGTAAGTATCAAATATTGGCTAAATCTCTTAAATTGCTGGGAAGTTAGTTTTTATTTCCAGTCTGTAAGAGTTTTTTTTAATCCTTGTTTTTGTAAAGAAGCTGTATATAACTTTCAATGTCTCTAAAGTGTTAAAAGATTCTATCAGAATAACTCCTTTAAACAGCAGAATGTAGATAGTATAGTATTTGTTTTTCTTTTTTGTTTGCTTTATCTTTTCATTTAGAATTGTTTACCTAGAGTCTGTTTGCCTACTTTGTGTTTAAAAAATTTACTTTAAATAGAAATGATACCAGTGTTTTCCCTACTGGGACAGTTTTTAACCTTTTTTTGAAACATATTAAATAAAAGTATTATAATATATATTACACATTTTAAACAAAAGTAGAGAAAACACTCTATGTACCCATTATAATGAACCCTCCTCTACCCTTCATTCACTTCAGCACTCATGAACTTTCTGCTCATCATAAGGGTAATTCTTAATTGTGGATGTGTTATCTTTATTGCTCTTATATGTAGCAAATATTGCTTTCAAATTCCCATCTGTGTTGTTGCCTACTTTACCTAAATGGTCTTCACGGACTTTTCAATCAGCACCCTTTATCATTTACCTGTCTCTCTGTCCTAGGACAGGTATAAACCAGCAGCCTGAGAGAAAAAGGCCAGTTATGCTTTTTTTGGTGCTTTGCAGCAACCTTGAAGTTAGTTTGAAGATCATAGTCAAGACTGATCAGGGTACATATCATGTATACATATCATGTATACATAGTTTTGGTTCTAGTTGTTAAGGACTTTGTTGGTTGCAAATAACAGGGTACTCTGAAATACCTCTGGCTTAAGCATAAATACAAAATCATACACATAATCATATAGCTATAGAGGTTTCTCACAAAATCCAAGGATAAGAATGCAATTAGACCTCTAGAAAAAAAACTTTAAAAATGAAAACTTTAAAAATGAATATCCTTAAAAAAAAGGACTCTCTAGTTTTCATCTCTGTTTCTTTTTATGTTACATTTTTCTCTCTCACTGTAAGCCAATTTGTGTAGGGAATCAGCCTCATCTTTCTAACTCCTCTAAATAAAATGCAATCTAAATAAAAAGAGTGTACTTAGTAACAGCTTCAAGTTAGTCCTGTACCATCACCACCACACACTCTACTTTCAAATATGATTGTGACCCCTGCATATCTACTAAAGAAAAATTGTATAGCTACCACTGTTCTTCTCAGTTGATATGATGGGCTAGTGGTAACTTTCATATTCATATATTACCAGCTCAGCCACCCAGAGGGATTAAACCTCAATCCAATTTACAAACACCTGGGAAGTAAGTCCTTCATAGATCTAGCTTGTATCAGATGTCTCCTTTTCAACAAATCATTTTTGGGCGAGGGGGGACAGGACAGGGATATGATGGGTAAAATGTATCCTGAACCTATTCTGCATGTGAAGGATGAGGACAAAGATCAGGGAAATAGTCAAATTACTTATTAGTACATAAGTATGGGAAATATGTGTGTGGGACAGACTGCAGATGAGAAGATGAAAGATTGCTAAATTCTCACCTGTAGATAATGTCTGAAATAGAAAGCTAAAAGGGTATCTGGGTGGCTGAGATAGTTAAGCATCTGCCTTCAGCTTGGGTCATGATCTCCAGGTCCTGGGATTGATCCCCAAGGCTGGGCTCCCAGCTGAGCGGGGAGTCGTCTTCTCCCTCTCCCCCTGCTTGTGCTCTCTCTGTCTCTGTATCTCTGTCTCTCTCAAATGAATAAGTAAAATCTTAAAAAAAATAAGAATAAAATAAAATAGAAAACTAAAGAAAAACAAAATGAGGATGTTATTTAGAGATACTGAAGTAGATACAAAAGATGTAGGTAAAATGTTGAAGTTGCCTGGGGTGGGGGAATGGTAGAGAGGAACACAAGAAATTGTTTCTTGTCTTAGTAATCTTACAGACCTAGTCAATTCTTTGACCTGTGTGATATATAACTTTACTAAAAACAAATTTAAAGTATAATTTTTAAAAATCAAATACATATCGGGCGCCTGGGTGGCTCAGTTGGTTAAGCGACTGCCTTCGGCTCAGGTCATGATCCTGGAGTCCCTGGATCGAGTCCCGCATCGGGCTCCCTGCTCGGCAGGGAGTCTGCTTCTCCCTCTGACCCTCCCCCCTCTCATGTGCTCTCTCTCATTCTCTCTCTCAAATAAATAAATAAAATCTTTAAAAAAAAAATCAAATACATATCTTTTTATCCATTGATTCCACTTTTAGCAGTTGCCTCTAATGAAGCAGTTGGACTAGGGAACAAAGGATACACAAGGATCTTCATTGTAATATTGTTTATAATAAAGATGGGGGTGACAAAAAATGTACATCATTAGAGTTGGTGAAATAAATTATATGCTGCTTTGCAGCTGTTGAAATGATGAATGATGTAGCTCCATATAAGTATGGAAATAAGATGGTGTTACAGAAAATGCAACAAGAGGAAATCAGAGAGGGAGACAAACCATAAGAGACTCTTAATCATATGAAACAAATTGAGGATTGCTGGAGGGAAGGGGGGTGGCGGGATGAGGTAACTGATTGATGGACATTAAGGAGGGCATGTGATGTAATGAACATTGGGTATTATATAAGACTGATCAATCACTGACTTCTGCCCCTGAAACTAATACATTATGTATTAATTGAATTTACATTTAAAATAAATAATAAAAAGAAAATGCATATTATTGCTCTACATGTATGTTTGATCCTGTTTTTAAATTTTTTTAATTTTGGGGGCGCCTGGGTGGCTCAGTCGTTAAGCGTCTGCCTTCGGCTCAGGTCATGGTCCCAGGGTCCTGGGATCGAGCCCTGCATCGGGCTCCCTCCTTGGCGGGAGGCCTGCTTCTCCTTCTCCCACTTCCCTGCTTGTGTTCCCTCTTGCTGTGTCTCTCTCCGTCAAATAAATAAATAAAATCTTTAATTTTTTTTAGAAGGGGGAGAGAGAGAAATGGGGAAGGGCAGAGGGAGCGAATCTTAAGCAGGCTCAACACCCAATGCAGAGCCTGACATGGGGCTAATCTCACAACCCTGAGATCATGACCTGAGCCAAAATCAAGAGTTGGGCGTTTGATCAACTGAGCCACTCAGACACCCCGATCCAGTTTTTTAAAATGTGAGTTAGGGCATTAAAAAGTCTGGAAACATGCTCAATGTTAGTAGCATTTCATCTGGGTAGTAGAATTATTGGTGTTTATCACTTTCTTCTATATTCCTCTTTTTAATTGTCTGAATCATGACAATGAGAATGTACTGCTCTTGTAATTAGAAAAAATAATGAATCTTTTTTTATGTATGTGCCAGTTGCAATAGTCAGTGAATGACACAAAAGAAATACTAATTTTTCTGAGCAGTGACTGTGTACCATTTTCAGTTAAGTCAGAGATGTTCAGGGAACTTTGTATAGACAGGTTCATTTCCAAACAGAATGCTGTGACTCTAAATTTCCTTTTTAGGCTATACAAATTATTGGTAATTTTTCCTTTCTGTCATGTAGAACTATTTCCCATAAATATTGGCTAATGGGTGCCTCACTGGCTCAATTGGTAGAGCCATGTGACTCTTGATCTCGGAGTCATGAGTTCAAGCCCCACATTGGGTGGAGAGCCTACCTAAAAAAAAGGGAGAGGCTAGAAAACAGACCCATATTTAAAAGATAAGAGAAGACACAAAAGTTTCCAAAAGGCAGAGAATGAAAGACAAGAAAGGCGGATGAAAAAAAAAAAAGAACAGTGAAGCAGAATAACAGTTAAGGGAGGAAGAATGAGGCTTCTAGAAGGAAAAAATAAAAATTCTTTAAAAAGAAAAGTATACTGAGCACCTGGATGGCTCAGTTGGTTAAGTGACTGCCTTCAGCTCAGGTCATGATCCTGGAGTCCCGGGATCGAGTCCCGCATCGGGCTCCCTGCTCAGCAGGGAGTCTCCTTCTCCCTCTGACCCTCACCCTTCTCATGCTCTCTCTCTCATTCTCTCTCTCAAATAAATAAAATCTTTATATAAAAAAAAAGATTGTATTTAAAAATTAAAAAATTAAAAAATAAAATAAAATAAAAAATAAAAAGAAAAGTATATTGGTTGGGGGCTCCTGGGTGGCTCAGTTTGTTAAGCATCTAGCGCTTGGTTTCAGCTCAGGTCATGATCTCCTGGGTCATGGGATGGAGCCCCGTATCAGGCTCTGTGACAGCAGGGAGTCTGCTTGAGATTCTCTCCCTCTGCTCCTCTCCCCACTTGCATGCTTTCTCTGTCTCTCTCAAATAAATAAATAATTTTTTTTTTTAAATATTGGCTGAATTTAGAACAAATTAGAACAATAGAAATTTATCATTTTTACATTATCTCATTAATTTAGAGACCATCACAGTGTTCCAGTTGGAAACCTCATTTTAGGTGATTGGGGGAAAAGAACAGGATTTCAAATATCTTACTGTTATCTTTTATATTGGACACCTTTTGAAATGGATAAAATAATTCCCAATTCTTCAATTTCCAGTTGAATTCATTTTTTTCTTTCTATATGATTATCTGTGAACAAGTAGCTGTTGCTGCAACAAAATCCATTTAAATAAACAGCTTATCTAGACTTTCCAGGTCAGAATGCAAATAGAAATCTGTGAGCATACCTGACGAAAGGCAGGTTAAGTATGAGCATTCCCATCAGTGATAAAGTTTAAAAAAAAAAATTATCTGCATGTTTTAGCGTATTGGTTAATATAGTGCCCCATTAGCCTCAGTGTCTAACTGGAAGTATCAGTGGATGTATACAAGGTACAGTAAGAGAAATGCATAGCTGTTCTCTCCCTCTCATATGGATTGCCTCCTCTTTTCTGCCAACTGTACTATCCACAAAGTAAGGTGAGAGGGTAACTCTTTGTTCTAGCCATTACATACCTCCCAGTACCATTGATATCTCCCAGTTCACTACTCTTTGGGTACTGCAAAGGCACTTCAAAAATTTGGGACTAAATTGGTACTCAAAAGAATCATGCTACTAGTGCACAGAGGGAGTATATGAACGTCATCTGCTCCACTACAAGAAGCAGAGAAAGAAACAACTAGAGAGAATGGTCATAACCTCTAAACATGAATTTTCCAGATTTTAATGCTGTGCATTGAATCATCTCATTTTTGTCTTTGCAACTCTGTGAAATAATTTGTGCAGATATCTGCTCCATTTTCAAAGTTTCAGGTGTTTAAAATCATACACTTCATAAGCAGCAAAGGAAGAACTTGGCTCCTAGTCCAGTGCTCTTTCCACTAGTGACAGTATCTTGTTGGATTTTATTGACTTTGTGTTCGTTATGAATTTGAGTAGTTGTGCTTTCATTTCTTCAAGCTGCCTTTGTTGTATGGTCCGACCCAGTCATTTCCTTCTCTGTCCAACCTAATCATCCTTCAGACTTGACTCCTGTATGTTCTTACTGCTGTGTTCCTGAAGCATGCAATCCGTATTTCCGCTTACCTCCTTTAGCTTAATTAAGCCTTTGTTTTCTCAATAAAATACAAGCAGTCCTCACTCTGCACAGTAGTGCAGGACAGTAAAAATGACTGTGCAAGCTGAAACTGCAAAGCCATCTTGATAATCAGTGGGGAAAGATAGGGTGGTTTCTATGACTTTTACATTTTTTATCAAATAATTGAAATCTCTCTTAGTTTCTCTTAAAAATGCATAGGGAGGTGAAAAATAGTAAAACTAATACTGGTTTAGTATCCTATAATTCAAACCACTAGAAACACTGAGAAATAAAGTGTTCTGTGTCCTTGTGGAAACTTATCACAAGTACTTTGAACAGTGGCTTGTTGCCCTTTTTGTCGTATAACTTAAAATACAGAGGGAGCATTTTTCTTGCATTGGCAAATTGTCCTAATCATTTCTAAACTTGAATTCACTTCCAGCATTTTATCGGTGCGTTTTCAATGTTGTGAAATGTGACCTTCAGTGAGAACTTTTTTGCCATCGTCACTTCCTCTAGGATACCTTCATCCCTCTCATCAGAGCCACTTTCACCATTTATGTTAATCAGTCCACCTTCACTGAATTCCCCTCACTGTATGTCTGGGGGCTCTCTAACAGTTGTAGTGTCAATATTTCCACTGTCAGCGGTTTATGTTCGACTTGAGTTTTCCTTCCGTCACTATCACTCTTTTGTTTCTTTGTTGCGTTTTTAACTTGTCTGGCCAGTTGCCTCTTTAGATTTACGTGGGTTTATCACTGGGAGACAAGGAGGTGACACAGGTACCTGCTTTGCTGTCTCTGTGTGAACTGAGTAACAGATGCCCAACAACAGATCACCCGCAGACTTTGAAAGAAGTGATGTGATTGCTCGCTGATTGTGATGTGTGTCTGTTATTTATGGAGTGATTTGTGGACTCACGAGCTAGTAGAAAACTCATACTTGATGCAGTTATTCACAATTGATGTATTGTGGGGACTGTAATTTGAACCTTGTTGGGAGACCGGTGTTATTTAACTGAACTGTGGTAACTGAAATATGTACATATCTGGACAGTGCAGAGTGAGGGCTGCCACTGTCTACGCACCTTGAGGTCATTAGACTTTTCTCTATATCTAGGCACATACTAGGGCACCAGGGGAAAAGTTGTTGAAAGAAAAAGGGAAAAAGTAGCTTCATGGGAAAGCTAGATTTCTGCTTTTTACAAACAGGTGAATAAATGGATGGATGCTTTTCTTTATGTACTTTTCATTCTCTTGCTGTAGAATCTATAAAAATAAATTCCTGTGCTTTACTTTCAGAAAGCCATGTGCACATCTGAAACCTTATTTATGTTACATTACAGGCTGACCTCTGTGTCCCTCGATTGAATGAAGGGGACCAAGTTGTACTGATCAATGGTCGGGACATTGCAGAACATACCCATGATCAAGTTGTCCTGTTTATTAAAGCTAGCTGTGAGAGACATTCTGGGGAACTCGTACTCCTGGTTCGACCTAATGGTAAGTACTCTGTGCAGCACTGGATATTTTTATAATCCGTTAGCGTTTGGTACTAGACACAGCAACCAGAGTGGGCTTTTAAAAACATAAATCATGTCGTGCAGTTTCCTGCTCAAAGCAGAGTGGCTTCCATTCACACTTGGATTAAAATTCAGTTCTTGGCCCCTTGCCTTCCACAGAGCCTTGCTCACTGTTCTGTGCTGGCTTTTTTTGTTTTTGTTCCTTCTCCCTAAATCTCCTTGATTGTGATATGACTTATACCCTCACTTCATTCAGGTCTCTGCTCAAATGTCATCCCCAGAAAGTCCTTCTCTTCTGACTACCATAGCTAAAATGGCCGCCCACTTCCCTCGTTGCTCTGGGAGTGGTAGGTATGCAGTAAATACTTTTTAAATAGATGAGTATGTTTTGAGCCATTTTTAGAAAACTCTGTAACAAGCTATAGTTAAAGCATTTTTAAAAATCCTGTCTTTGTGGTGCCTGGGTGGCTCAGTCATTAAGGCTCTGCCTTTGGCTCAGGTCATGATCCCAGAGTCCTGGGATCGAGCCCCGCATCGGGCTCCCTGCTCTGTGGGAGGCCTGCTTCTGCCTCTCCCACTCCCCCTGCTTGTGTTCCCTCTCTCGCTGTGTCTCTCTCTGTCAAATAAATAAATAAAATCTTTAAAAAAAATAAAAATCCTGTCTTTGTTGGCAGTAGACAATGCCAATAGCCTAATCATGTCATCTCCTTATCTGGACAGCTGACTTGTTAATTCAGGGCCAGAGTTCCAGGTTTGTAGAAGCCTTAATACCATACACTCTAGCTCCTTTGCTGATTGCTTGAGTTTCCTCTACAACAGCCTCAAGATCATCCTGGCAATGTGCAGCACTCAATGGCTCCTGAAGCAGCTCATTTTCCCTTTGGGTAGCTTGAACATTTAATTGAACTAAAAATTCATCTTCTTTTAATCTCTTTGTTCCTAATTCTGTCCCTTTGTGCTATGCAGAACAAGTTAAATCCCCCTTCCTTCAGTTTTTTGACAATAGCTGATTTTACCAGAAACCTTCCCCCTTTCTCCAGTTTAACAGTACCAGTCCTTCAGTGTTCATATGGCATTGCTTCAAGTTTCCGTTAACACTTTATCAATCTCCTCTGAGAAAAGTTCTCATATGCCTATATCCCAGCATTAGACACATCTTCTAGTTTTGTTCTGAACAGTTTGCCATTAATCATAGTTTTAGCCACAAGAGTAATTAATGGTTAATGCCTCGCTACCAGTTGTTGAATATATACCATAAGGAAGTAAAATGTAATTAGAATCGACCCATTCCCTACCCCCCACACCCAACCCTGCAAAGTTTTCCAAGAGAGTTCCTTTAAAAAAGAAAAATACAGGGACGCCTGGGTGGCTCAGTTGGTTAAGCGACTGCCTTCGGCTCAGGTCATGATCCTGGAGTCCCAGGATCGAGTCCCACATCGGGCTCCCTGCTTGGCAGGGAGTCTGCTTCTCCCTCTGACCCTCCTCCCTCTCATGCTCTCTGTCTCTCATTCTCTCTCTCACAAATAAATAAATAAAATCTTAAAAAAAAAAAAAAAATTATAAAAAAAGAAAGAAAGAAAGAAAAATACAGAACTCTCATTTTGTCTCTTAGGTACAAACAGGCATTTTCATTTTATCTTCTCTACTTCGTGTTTTTCTGCATTCATGGCCTAGAATTGGCTTTCTGAGAAAATTCAAAGGACTTCAACAGAATGTTCTATTTTGATTTTTCAAGGAACTCATTCATTTGGACCTGATATTTAGGTGATTCATTATTAGGCATTTTCTGTCACATAATGCAACTTAAATTTTATACTAAGAATAATATTCTCTCAATTTTCCTTGTTCTGTTTTCTCTTGATAACAGATCCTAAGGAACTTAATAGTAAGTTCTTCACCTGGGCTGTTTTGTATATTCTCGTTTAATCTTTACAGGCATCCAATGAGATAGATGAATTATCCCCATTTTATAGTTGAAGGCACTTTAGCACCAAGACATTCAGTTATCTGCTCATAAATTCATGACTTGTACAGAGCCAGAATATGAACAAAACTCCATATAATGGAAAAGGCCTGTCTTTTTGCAATTCCAAATCACTTTATTTATACTTTAAATTAGGAGGGGAAACCACCTAGGGCTTATTTCTTTGCAAAAGATCTTTCTGTTGTTTTGTTGTCAAAATCGGGACTGTGGGGGTGTGCCTGGTGGCTCAGTCGGTTAAGTGTCTAACTCTTGATTTCAGCTCAGGTCATGATCTCAGGGCTGTGTGGAGTTCCATGCTGGGGGTAGAACCTTCTTAAGATGAGTCTGTTGTGTCCCTTTTTATTTAAAGCAACACTTAAGGGCGCCTGGGTGGCTCAGTTGGTTAAGCAACTGCCTTCGGCTCAGGTCATGATCCTGGAGTCCCGGGATCAAGTCCCGCATCGGACTCCCTGCTCTGCAAGGAGTCTGCTCCTCCCTCTGACCCTCCCCCTCTCATGTGCTCTCTCTCTCATTCTCTCTCAAATAAATAAATAAAATCTTGAAAAAAAATAATAAAAAATAAAGCAACACTTAATCAAACTTTAAAACTGTATTTACAAAAAGTATCAAAAAAACAAACAGCTTGTTTTTCTGGGTTTTTTCCTTTAAATCTCCTTCTTAGACAAAATGCATTCACACATTTTTTTTTCTTTTCATTCTTCTTTTCAGAAGTTTATTCTTCTCAGAAGTGCACACATCTGAACAGGAACCAGACCTCTTAAGCATGGGCAAAAGAGGCCCCTAGCTTGGCTCTACTCTGGCTCTCTCTCAGCTTTTTCCCTTACCTGTGGGGATCGGGATTTTGTGGAACCAAGAGGACATGCCACGCTATCACCTGTGACCACTCCTTCTTCTCTAGACCACCTCATTTCAACCCTCAGTTCTCTGTCCAAGTAGCTCTGATCCCACTTCCTGGGCCTGTGTGGCTGTTTTCCCTAGATCCAGTCTCCCATGGGTGGATCACGCGGTATATGTACCCCTAGGCCAACAGGGTAGCTAAGAGGCAGCAGTTTGCAGAGGAGTGGAGAACAAACTTACATATGGGCTGGTATGTTCGCACGTATGTTCATAGGCTCCCATGTTAAAGAATGGAGTTTAGGGTGGGAAAAGAAGTAAGGCCAGAGTCTGGGGTCTGGGTCTCTTCATACTACTGTGGCCATGGGTTCTGGCGTCCCAGGTTTTGTAGATGTGTCGAGGAAAGAGGTTAGAACAGGTTTTGTTTAGCACTCTACTCAAGTTATTTGTGTTTTTTCATATCTGGATGTATGGTATATAGGTCCCTGTTTCTACTTTTGTTCTAGGTCTGACAGTTTAAGGGCAGGTCTGAGCTGCTGCTTGGCAGCTCCTCTTTTTCTAATTATCTCTTCAAGTTACAGACATTTTCAGCAATATGGCCAAGAACGCTTCTTTTCCCTAAAGGTACAGCAAAGTTCAACTTCACAGCCACTTTGTCCCTTACACAGTGACACCCGACTCAGATCTGATTAATTCTTTTTCCTGAGACAATTAAAGAACACATCTGGTAAATTCTTTTTGCCAATTGATTAAGATTTCCGTGTGGCTTTTTTGTTTTTTTTTTTTAGCTGTATATGATGTAGTGGAAGAAAAGCTAGAAAATGAGCCAGACTTCCAGTACATTCCGGAGAAAGCCCCACTAGATAGCGTCCATCAGGATGACCATTCGCTGCGGGAGTCAATGATCCAGCTAGCCGAGGGACTTATCACTGGAACAGTCCTGACACAATTTGATGTAAGTAATACTGCATGGAAAGGATGTTGGGCCATATTTTCTAATTAATTTCATGGTCTCTTAACTGCCTAATTTATCATTTATAATTTATAAACTGAAATGGTATTCTGTGAAATATTTGACATAAAAAAAGTGTTCTAAAATACACAGTTTTAAACATTGCTCCCAAAATACTAGCTGTAGTTACATAAATAGATATCTTTTTAAAAGAGAGGAATAAGGAGATTTTATGCATATGTCATCAAACTAAATTTTTTTCTGTAATTCAATAGCTATTTTTATGAAAGGTGGCAGATGAAGATAGGCTATGGTGGTAGAGCTAAAAATCCTGAGTTAAAGGAAAATAACTTTTGTTCCTTGTCATATTTTATCCTTCTCTAATTTTTGTCTGTCTAGTTGGTCATCATTAATAGTTGTTGCTCTAAAGTATGTGCTATTGATAAGTGACTATAAAACATTTGTGACTGTAAATCATTTAGGGCATGTCAGTTTTTCCGTTTCGGGCGCATGGGTGGCTCAGTTGGTTAAGCATCCACGTTCGGCTCAGGTCATGATCCCAGGGTCTGAAATTGAGCCCCAAGTCCGGCTCTGCTCGTTGGGGAGACTGCTTCTCCCTCTTCCTCTGCCTGCCGCTCCCCCTGCTTGTGCTCTCTCTCTCTCTAATAAATAAATAAATAAAATCTTTAAAAAGAAAAAAAAAGTTGTTCTTGGTTCATATACTGTTTAAACCTCTCAAATTAAATGAGAGCTAAATGTTCTCTGCAGATTTGCTATTCATAACTTCAGTTACTTTTCTGTAAGCAAAATTATTTTCAATGTTTTATCATTTAAAAAAATACAATATATAATTCATGTCAGAAATTGTGCAGAATTCAGCTTTGCGAATTTGTTTCAATATCCTACTAGCCTAAGGTACATCACTGTATGGATGAGGTACCCTAAGGAAAAAACCTGTTTGTTGTTAGCATAGAAATAATCCTGCAGGGGCTCCTGGGTGGCTCAGTCCTTAAGCGTTAAGTGTCTGCCTTGGTAGGCTCAGGTCATGATCCCAGAGTCCTGGCATGGAGCACTGCATTGGGCTCCCTGCTGTGTGGGAAGCCTGCTTCTCCCTCCCCCCACTCCCCCAGCTTGTGTTCCCTCTCCCGCTGAGTCTGTCTCTGTCAAATAAATAAAATCTTTAAAAAAATAAAAAAATAATAATAATCCTGAAAAACAAAACAGAATCTCTTAATGGCTTGCTGGACTCTTCTTATACCCCCTCCTTTTTTTTTTTTTTTTTTTTAGCAACTATATCGGAAAAAACCTGGAATGACAATGTCTTGTGCCAAATTACCTCAAAATATTTCCAAAAATAGATACAGAGATATTTCGCCTTGTAAGTATCTACCATCTCTGTTTGTTAAGTTTAATCTTTTTAGCCTAACTTTCAAAACATTCTTTCTTTTAAATTTTTTTCAGATGATGCTACACGGGTCATTTTAAAGGGTAATGAAGACTATATCAATGCAAATTATATAAATGTAAGTTTATTTTTATTATGCCTTTGTCATTGGGAATAAGAGGGACCACCATAAACTTTGAGGTTCCTTTTAACCTTGAGAAAATATTAACACTTTCAGATATTGAAAAAGAGTATAAAATTAATGTTAAAAAAATAGTTTGGGGCGCCTGGGTGGCTCAGTTGGTTAAGCGACTGCCTTCGGCTCAGGTCATGATCCTGGAGTCCCGGGATCGAGTCCCGCATCGGGCTCCCTGCTCAGCGAGGAGCCTGCTTCTCCCTCTGACCCTCCCCCCTCTCATGTGCTCTCTCTCTCTCATTCTCTCTGTCTCAAATAAATAAATAAAATCTTAAAAAAAAAAAAAGTTTGGTACTGGCATATTAGCATATTCATAGAGCAGTGGAATAGAATAAGCTGAAATAATGGCTAGACTTTTGTTTATGGTAGAAATGGCCTTTTAAATCATTGAAGGATAAAAATAGATTATCTAGTGAATGAGTTGAGTAATATATCTAGATATAATCTAGAATATATCATTGTAAGGACGTTTTCCTTCCCTTCTATTGGGATTAAAAGGATTACTAACTTCTTTTCTTAACTCTGTTATGTAGAAAATTTCAAACATACAAAAGTAGAAGAAAAGTAAAATGAACCTTCATATATACATCACTCAGCTCAACAATTGTCTAGATTGTTTTGAAACAGATCCATGTTTCATATCATTTATCTATAAAGACTTCACCTACTCACTCTTGATGTAACATATTTTAGATATATCAAAATATAAATGTTAAAAAATGGAATCATGAGAGTACTTGGAGGAAATCTATGAGAATGGCTTAAAATCTCAGAAAGGGAAAGACTTTTCTAAAGTTTAGACTCTTGTCTAAATTCACAAAAAGAAAAGTGCAAATCAAAACTGGAAGGAATTACTATTTTTCACTTATTAGACTTGAAATATCAAAGAGAGTGATAATATCATTTATAAGTCTGTATCCTTTATCTGAAATCTTGGAGTCAAATACACTTTAGGATTCAGAATTTTTTGGATTTTTTTTTTTTTTAATTATTCAGTGCCTGCACCATAGACTGTAGTAAGTAACATCCCTAGCAGACTATGAGACATTACCCTGTAATCAGTGTATTGATACTCAGCAAACTATTGATACTTCCATTGAATGGGACTTATAAAGATTATAAGTAGTCTTAGATTAGCCAGATATTGCTGTCAGATGAGTCCAGATGAGGTCAGGTGTACCCAAAAAAGGACAGACTTACACTTCACAGCACTGGGAGTTTCAGAATTGTGGATGAGGGATTATCAGTATATTAAGGAGACTATCGCGGAACAAGAATTCCTCATACATTGTTGATGGAAGTATAAATAGGTGCAACCTCTTCAGAAAGGTAACTAACAAAAATGTTGAGTTTACAAAAGTATTCAGTGCAGCTTTGTTTATGGTAGCAAATAGATTACCAGCAACTTAAGTGTTTGTTAAATAAATTACGGTATATGCAGAGCCATTAAAAAAATAAAATCTGACATCTCAAAGATAAAGTGGAAAAAGAGAAACAAGGTGCAGAACAACATTATAAGCTACCTTTTATGTTTTACAGAAAACAGAATTTTGCATCTACATTTGTGTGTTGTATATAGAGTATCTCTGAAAGGATATATTAGAAATTAGAAAAAAGGATTCTTTCCTGGGTGTGAACCGGAAGCTGGGATAGGAAGAGAGACGTTTTTCTCTGTTCACCCTTTGGTAGTCTTCCAGTGCCATGGTGCATGTGTCACTTTTCTTCTTTTTTCATTAAGTCTCAAAATGTAGTAGGATGATGACTCATCTTTCCCAAATACTCATGATCTTACTCTTCCTGAAAATAGTGAATTTAAAATATTTTCTACTATCTTTTCATATGTATGTATGTATTATATATTATACATTATTCGTTAAGTCTGAACTAAAACAAATGGCAGAATATTTGCTCCTTGCAAATTTTACCAATAAGCTGTTTAGAGACAAGTATTTTTATCTCTGTATCAAGTCTCTGCCTCTAAAACAGGGTTTTCTGTAAAGCTTCTCTTAAACCTGTAAGAGTACTTTGGAAAATATTTAAATTTCTGTTTCCAGTAATTAAAAGATAAATATGTATAACTACTAAGAAATTTCTTCAGATAAAGAAATTATTAATAAAGATTTGGGATTTTTCTTCTTTTTCAAATTTTTATTTAAATTCTAGTTAGTTAACATATAGTATAATACTGGTTTCAGGAGTAGAATTTAGTGATTCATCACTTACCTACAACACCCAGTGCTCATTATAATAAGTGCCCTCCTTAATACCCATCACTCATTTAGCCCCTCCCACACCCACCTCCCTCCATTGACTCTCAGTTCTCTATCATTAAGAGTCTCTTATTGGGGTGCCTGGGTGACTCAGATGGTTAAGCGTCTGCCTACGGCTCAGGTCATGATCTCAGGGTCCTGGGATCGAGTCCCGCATCGGGCTCCCTGCTCCTTGGGAGCCTGCTTCTCCCTCTGCCTCTCTCTCTCTCTCTGTCATGAATAAATAAATAAAATCTTTAAAAAAAAAAAAAAGAGTCTCTTATTGGGGAAAACAAAAAGAGTCTCTTACTGGGGCACCTGGGTGGCTCAGTCATTAAGCGTCTGTCTTCGGCTCAGGTCATGATCCCCAGGGTCCTGGGATTGAGCCCCACATTGGGCTCCCTGCTCCCCGGGAAGCCTGCTTCTCCCTCTCCCACTACCCCCTGCTTGTGTCCCCTCTCTGGCTGTCTCTGTCAAATAAATAAAATCTTTTAAAAAAAAAAAAAAGTCTCTCACGGTTTGTTTCCCTCTCTTCTTTTTTTTAAAGATATTATTGGTAAAGGCTTATTTTACTGACTTTGCTGTTTATTTGAGATTAGTTGTATTCAGTTGTTATTTCATGGATGATTTTCATATACTTGATCATAGCAAAAAGTAATAATGTAAAACACTTGAGTTTTGTGTCCTTTGCTTTTTTAGATGGAAATACCTTCTTCTAGCATTATAAATCAGTATATTGCTTGTCAAGGGCCATTACCACACACTTGTACAGATTTTTGGCAGATGACTTGGGAACAAGGCTCCTCTATGGTTGTAATGTTGACTACACAAGTTGAACGTGGCAGAGTAAGTCATACTTGAATCTTACAAATTGCTTGGGCTTTTTTCTTTTCTTTTCTTTTCTTTTCTTTTCTTTTCTTTCTTTCTTTTTTTTTTTTTGCTTGGGCTTTTTTCAACTTACATTGCATATATCGTCAAAATATTCACATTGATTTAGTCTTTTTTGTAACCTTTAACCTTTCTTTCTTGTGTTATTAAAATCATAGTGACTAACACATAATAAATGTGCTATATAAGTGTTAGCCACTATTATTATCAGTCATTATCTAAATGAATTAACATGTATCTGATAAGGGATTTGATGTGGAATATATAAAGAACTCCTGTAACTCAACAATGAAATGGTAAATACCCAATTTAAAAATGGCCGAACCTGAGTAGATGTTTCTTGAAAGAAGATATTTAAATGGCCAGTAATGTCATAAAAAGATGCTCAGCATTATTAGTCACCATGGAAATGCAAAATCAAAACCACAAAGAGAGGGATGCCTGGGTGGCTAGGTCAGTTAAGCATCTGCCTTCGGCTCAGGTTATGATCCTGGGGTCCTGGGATTGAGTCCTGCGTTAGGCTCCTTGCTCAGCAGGAAGCCTGCTTCTCCCTCTCCCTCTGCCTGCTGCTCCCCCGGCTTGTGCTGTCTTTCTCTCTCTCTCTCTCTGACAAATAAATAAATAAAATCTTAAACACACACACACACATACACAAAGAGGTAGCACTTCATATCCAGTAGGATGGCTAAAATAAAAATGACAGATAATACTAAGTGTTGACAATGATGTGGAGAAAATGGAACCCTCCTATACTGCTGCTAGATTTGTAAAATGATGGAAAACAGTGTCAGTTTCTCAAAAGGCTAAACATAGAGTTAATAACTCAGTAGTTTCACTCCTTGGTATACCCAGGAGAAATGAAAACATATGTCTACACAAGAACTTGTGCATAGATGTTCATAGCAGCATTATTCGTAATCACCAAAAAGTGGAAACAATCCAAATATAACAAATAAAATGTGGTGTTATCATACAGTTGTATATCATTTGGCAGTAAAAAGAAATGAAGAAATGGTCCATGCTACAACATGGGTGAACCTTAGAAAATATTATGCTAAGTGAACAAAGGCAGTCACCAAAGACCACACACTATGTGATTCCATTACCTGAAATGTCCAGAGTAGGCAAGTTCATAGAGGACAGGAAATGGATTAATGGTTGCCTAGGTCCAGAGTGAGAGAAGGGGTTGGGATAGAGGAACACACAGTGATTATTAATGGGTATGGGACTTCTTTGGGGAGTGAAAAAATGTTCTAAAAGTGATTGTGCTGATGGTTGCACAGTTCTAAAAGCAATTGAATTATGTTCTTTAAATGGGTAAATTGTATGTGAATTATATGAGAGTAAAGCTGTTTTTTTAATATCCTAATTATGAAAATAGATTGGCATTTTAGTTAGAGATTCTTTCTCATTGTTAACTTAAATCTAAAAATACCGAGTTTAGTGCACCATTTTGCCACTCTCATAGTAGTAAATGATTCAGGCAAGAATTAATCAAGAATGGTAAAACATTGGGTGAAAACTTGTAATAAACAGGATATTTGCAGTCTCAAAATACAGCCAAACAGATTATTATTACAAAGAGAAAAGAATGATGAAGAAATTTTAATAGTTGGCAGATCTAGGTGAAGGATATATGAGGGCTCATCAGATTACTCTTGTAACTTTTCTGTAGGCTTGAAAGTTTTTAAAAATTAAAACATTTTAAAATTGGAGAACCTAATTATATATTTTTCTTAAATCTATTGATGTCAGGTTAAGTGTCACCAGTATTGGCCAGAACCCACAGGAAGTTCATCCTATGGATGCTATCAAGTCACCTGCCACTCAGAAGAAGGAAACACAGCATATATCTTCAGGAAGATGACACTATTTAACCAAGAGGTAGGAAGGCAGGATATCCACTCAGTAGAACGGTTATGTTCAAGGTAAAAACTTTGAAAGCTGAAAATATGTTGAGTCCTGGTTACTAGGAAATAATATTTAAAAATTCCTGAATTTGTTTCATTGGAACTCTTTGAAATCTTATGAAGTATATTCTCCTACTATATTAAATGTATCTTCAATTTCTCTAAGTAAATATGGTCAGTAAAAAAAGATTCTAGTAAATAATAGTTATTATTCTTAATATTTTGCCTCTTCATAAAAATTATGCCATGGTTGTATTTGATTTCTTCCTGCCAGTAATATCAATAAAGTATTTGAGTACATCTGTGGAAATACAAAGAATAATTGAGAGCTATCAAATTATTATCCTTTTTGTAAAAGGGTGAAGGAGTGCAATTTCAGTCTCCCCAGTATTAAGAAGAAAAGATTGTAGGCAGGATCCTCTGACAGTAGACAGATTATAGCTTTGTGTAATTGCTAGTTCCTACTACCACCTGGGTCATTCCTCTTTGGCTTCCAAATCCAGAGCCAGAAATGGAAACTGATTAGTAAATGATGGCTCAGTAACTCAATTGGAAGATGAGTGTAGAGCATGGCATGTTGCCAGTCTAGTCAGGCTGTTAAAGATAGTACACCCCACTTTCACTGCCTGCAGCTAGATATTCCCCTGTAGGCATCTTTGGTTTTGAAGGGGGCTAGAAGAAGAAAAAAGCAATTGCTAGAGAAGAACAAATAGCACAGGCTTTGAATACCCATGCCTATCCCATCAGTGGTTAAGCCTTTTGAAAATGAAAGCTTCAAATCCTCCACCCCATCCCCCTCCACCTCCCTGAATATGAATAAAGGAGCCCAGCAAGACAGAGCTTTACTGACTTAAAGGGAAGGAGCCAGAAGTTGTGGGGATTTATAATAAAGGAATCTGGTATTGAATAAAGCTAAGTTACAAGAAATAAAAAATTAAATTTTCAAAATCTTATGAACTAGAGATTGCATTAGAATCGATTTAGGGCTTGTGTAGCTCCTGGTCCAATTTAACAAGGTAAGTCAATAAGATATTTCTTCATTTTCCCAAATGGGTATGAAAGGCTGTATATTGGCCATATAAAATAATATTTATATCTTCAGCATAATCTCTTTATGCTCCACCTATAAGTTACCCATGGCAGTTTATAAACTTACAGTGGCTTTTCTTTGCAAACCTTGAGCACCTCAGAACTATGACAAGACACAAATTAGTTTTTAAAGTTTGAGACAAATATAATTGGGAAAATACATTTGCTTATATACCAGATACATACATACATGGATGGATGGACTGACACACATACCCCAGAACATAATACCCATTTTACATTACCCATTCTTATAATTTTTGGTACCATTAAATTTTGTTAACAATAATAATCAAAGGTAGTCTGTATTAAATACCTTCAATCCATTTCACAGGATTCTGAAAAACTAGTTATCAAGTTATACTGAGGTCTCTTTGGGAATTCGTTCATTAGTCCTTTTCTTAATTACCTTGTACTTTAATGGTCTTTTCTGGAAGCCCCCTTTAATGTAAATGACAATAACCAGATTTCATAGTGTTGAATGGCCATAGCTACCAGTTTTTGAGAGTATGATTGCAAACAGCTGATTGGGTGATTTAAAGGTCCTCTCATAGAATCCTTTCAACACAAGACTATCCCTGTGAGGTATAGATGTTACTTTATTTTTCAGTTGAAGAAAGTAAGGCTCTGAAATGTTAAGTGCCTTAACCAGCAGAGTCAATATTTAAACCAAGATGTATAAATCCAATAATAATACCTTTCTCCATTTTACTGACTCTTGGCTCCCAAAAAAAGAATTAAACCCTGACTGGACTTTGTGTTTTTGTGATCTCTGGTTTTTAATCTACATTTATTTTGAGATTTTATTTTCCTAATTTCCATTATTTCACTTGTGTTTTTTCAGAATTAGCCCAACTTTGCTTATTAAAAAATTTTTTCCCCTACCATTTGTGCTCACCTAACACTTTTTTAGTTTTCTTTAAACATTTCTCTGTATCTTAATTTGTTTTTGCCTATTTATTTGTCATCTGAAAAATATAAATGCAGAAATTGAGTAACAAGAATAGTGATCCAAGTAGCCGATACTTAAAGGATACAACTGTTTCTGTAAAATGGTTTCTTTCTTTTTCATTGAAATTTTGGGTTTTATTGAATTTACATTACTTTTTTGGGGGTGAGAATAGTTTCTTTTGCTTTTCTTCTAAAATTAAAATGACACAAATATTTATATTTTAAAGATAATTCCTAAGTTAAGGTGCATAATTTTTCATTTACACTTAGAAAAATGAGAGTCGTCAACTCACTCAGATCCAGTACATAGCCTGGCCTGACCATGGAGTTCCTGATGATTCAAGTGACTTTCTGGATTTTGTTTGTCATGTACGAAATAAGAGGGCTGGCAAGGAAGAACCTATTGTTGTTCATTGCAGGTATTTTCTGTCTTTTATGATTGAATAGTTGACCTGATAAGTCACTTTTAAAAGGGAATGTGTATTTTATTTTGTCTTTAAGTTGTTATCGTCACTGTGGTAATTAGACCGAACCCACAACTATGATCTGAAGCTGGAAGGCAAAGGATATGTTCCAACATATGATTGTCAGAATCTTTATCATAAGAAGTAAAAATAATACTTGATTGATTCTTAGAAGCTTGTCTTTTTCATAGTTTAACATCTCAGACATTGGGTGTCTTACAATGGATGGTATCTTAGATTTGATGAAATCCAGTATACTAGGCATTCAGTTGCAGCCTAAGGGTTTAGATTTCCTCCTCCCAGCAGTGTACTCTTTCCCGCCCTGTGGCCCCTCCCAGGACATTTGTTAAGTACTCTCCCCTCTCTCAGAGTGGCCCTACCCAATACCATCAGAGGATATGCTACTCCCAAGAGCTCCAGGTGAACAGTGGTAGGCTACCCTTTTCTTCCTTTCATACTCGGGCCCCATTCTGCCTTCTGAAGGGCCAAATACAGGGACTCCAGCCTTCACTGCCATAGACCCAGATTAGGAAAATGAATTATCTTCTCCTTATCCTAGCCACTTCTGTTATTAAAGTGATTTATTCATAAGCTGTGTTAAGTCCTCTGAATAAATAAATAAAGGTATCTCCGCAATAAAGGTATCTCCTCATCCTTACACTTTCCAGCACTTTTTTCAGAGCAGACTTTCAGATCATCAAAACAGATTGTAGACCAAATGTCTGAGAGGCAACATGGCAGGATTGATGAACACATTTGGTCATTTCATATCCTAAATCCCCAACAGCTGCTATAGCTATTATATTCACAGAGAATACTTCAAAAAGTTGTTCTTGACTATCCCAATTCCAAAATTTAATAAAAATTAAATTTGGTTTTAAAAACCAATTTGAGTGTGGAAAATATTGTTGTCTTTTTGCATTTGTTAATGATTTATTGTAATTTTGTTATTTTGTATTTTACTTTTTAAGATTTTACTTATTTATTTGTCAGAGGGAGAGAGAGCACAAGCAGGGTGAGTAGCAGGCAGAGGGAGAACAGGCTCCCCACTGAGCAGGGAGCCCGATGTGGGACTCCATCCAAGGACCCTGGGATCATGACCTGAGCCAAAGGCAGATGCTTAACCGACTGAGCCACCCCGGCATCCTGAATTTTATTACATTTTTTTTAAGACTTTATTTGAGAGAGAGAGAGAGAGTACAAGCGGGGGGGGAGGGGCAGAGGGACAAGCAGACTCCCCACTGAGCGGCGAGCCCAACGTGGTGCTACATCCCAGGACCCCGATATCATAACCAGAGCTGAAGTCAGCCACACAACTGAGCCACCCAGGTGCCCCGTTAGTTTGCATTTTAAAGGGAGGCTGCTCCAGTAAGCTTATATACTGTGTTCAGATTTTAAAAACTGAAATGTAACTCTTTTAAAGTAACATTTTTACAACTAACAGTGGGGGAGGAGTAGATACAAACCATTTAATCTGTATTAAGTGTGAAATGTTTTTCAGTTTTCAAAGTATTTTTTAGTTGGCTTTCTACTTTTGTAATATAAAGCTTTTAATTAAAATCAAATTATTCTTCTATTGTATTATATTTCAGTACTTTTATTTACTGCACAGAAGCCACAAGAAGTTTAACAGAATACTATCAATGAGACTGCCTCTTATTTATCTCTTTCAGTGCTGGAATTGGAAGAACTGGGGTTCTTATTACTATGGAAACAGCCATGTGTCTCATTGAATGCAATCAACCAGTTTATCCACTAGACATTGTAAGAACAATGAGAGATCAACGAGCCATGATGATCCAAACACCTGTAAGTATTGCACTTCATGTACATATGTGTGTTCTCAACATGATGATTTTTGTTTCCAATGTATATGGCAAACCATATTTTTATCTTTTTAATTCCCTGACAGGAGCCAATAGCCCCTAGCACAGGGGTTGACAAATACTGCCTGTAAGCCAAATCTGGCCTGCTACTTGTTTTTGTAAATAAAGTTTTATTGGAATATAGCCATGCCCATTTGTTTACATATTGTCTATGACTGCTGTCACCCTAAAATACCAGAGTAGAGAAGTTGTAACAGGCACCATATTATTTGCAAAACCTAAAATATTTACTAACTGGTCTTTTACAGAAACTGTTAGTACCACCTTATCATGTGAATTCTTGAGTGCTTGAAGAGGTACAGAGGAACTTTCCCTCTGTTAGTCAGGTGGGATGCCAAGAACAATAGCATCCCTGAACTGGAGAATCTTGGTAGACCAGTTCTTGATAAAACAGCTGTGGTGAAAATCACCTTCTTTTAACATAAGAACTTGAATTGCAACAACAACAAAAGTCATGGAAATTAAGCTACTAGCTTATTGTATTCTACACAGACTCTAAATTATATTCCTGGAATCAAAAGAGGAATCATGGAGGGACGCCTGGGTGGCTCAGTTGGTTAAGCGTCTGCCTTCGGCTCAGGTCATGATCCCAGGGTCCTGGGATCGAGTCCCGCATTGGGCTCCCTGCTCAGGAGGGAGCCTGCTTCTCCCTCTCCCTCTGCCTGCAGCCCCCCTTGCTTGTGCTTGCTCTCTCTCTCTTCTCTCTCTCTGACAAATAAATAAAGTCTTTAAAAAAAAAAAAAAGGAATCATGGAATTTTAATGTTAAGATTATTTTTTATATTAAGCCATGGTGAAATGTTAGCATTGTTGATGGCACTAAGGTTACTGAAATGAATTAACTTATATGATCTAATAAATGCGTGTCATTTTTTTTAGCTTTTAATTATAGAAAATTTCAAACATATGCAAGAGTAGACAATACAATAAAATGAACACTGTGTTGAGTACTGAGACCCAACAACATGTGCCATATTGTTTCATCTATACTGTCACCTACTTTCCTGGTATTTGAAGCAAATCCTAGACATCAGATTATTTTGTCTATAAATATTTCAGTGTGTATCTCTCAAAGATGAGTGGTTTTTCTTGTAAACAAAATCATAATACCATCATCACATGTAAGTATAATTAACAGTAATTTCTTAATATTACCAAATAACCTATAGTCAAATTTCCATTTGTCTCATATAAGTTGTTTTTTTATTTTAGAACAGCTTTATTGAAATATAATTCACATACCACAAAATTCACCCTTTTAAAGTGTACAGTTCAGTCGTTTTTAGTATATCACAGAGTTTTGCGGCCATCATTGCTATCTAATTTTAGAACATTTCATCACCTCAAAAAGAAACCCCATACCTATTTTCCTTCATACGGTCTCCAACCTCCCCTCCACCCGTCCCTGAAGCAACCACTAATCTACTTTCAGTCTCTGTAGGTTTACCTATTCGGGACCTTTCATATGCATGAAATCATATAATTTGGTCTTTTATGTAATTGGCTTCCTTAATTAACATAATATTTAAAGATTTATCCATTCTGTAGCATGTATCAGTACTTCATTTCTCTCTCTCTCTCTCTCTTTTGGGGAGGGTCTGCTGAATAATACTCCATTGTATGAATATACCATATTTTATTTATCCATTCATCTATTCATGGGCATTTAGATCATTTCAGCTTCTTTATTATTATGAATAATGGTACCATAAACATTTGTGTATATGTTTTTATGTGAATATGTTTTCATTTTTCTTGGGTATATATCCAGAAAAGGAATTGCTGGGTCATATGGTAACTCTGTTAAAACTTTTGAGGAACTGCCAGACTGTTTCCAAAGTGGCTATTCCACTGACAGTGTATGAGGGTTCCATTTTCTCCACGTTATTGTCAACACGTGTTATCTTTTTTTTTTTTTTAACTCTAATTAATCTCTACACCAACATGGGACTTGAACTCACAACCCAGAGATCAAGAGTCACATGTTCCACTGACTGAGCCGGGCAGGCACCCCTGTCTTTTTTCTATTTTACCCATCCTACTGAACATAAAGTGGTATCTTGTTATGGTTTTGATTTGCATTTTCCTGATAACTAATGATATCAAGCATTTTTTCATGTGTTTATTGGCCATTTATCTGTATATCTTTTGAGAACTGTCCAAGTCTTTGGCTCTTTTCTTTAAAGATTTCAGGTAATCTCTATACCCAATGTGGGGCGCAACCTTACAGACTCCGAGATCAAGAGTTGCACATTCTACCAGCTGAGCCAGCCAGGTGCCCCTTGCCCTATGTTCAGTTTGGGTTTTTTTGTCCTTTTATTGTTGACTTATAAGACTTCTTTATATTCTCCGAATAAAAGTGTCTTATAGATCTCTGTTTTGGAAATGTTTGCTTCCATGCTGTTCTTTCACTTTCTTGATTATGTCATTTGTAGCACAGAAGCTTTTAATTTTGATGAAGTCTAGTTCATATATTTTTTTTAATCACATAATGCTTTTGGTGTCATAGCTAAGAAATCATTGCCTAAACTCAAGGTCGCAAAGGTTTATTCCTCTGTTTTCTTGCAAGAGTTTTATAGTCTGTCACTTACATATGTCTGATTTATTTTGAGTTAATTTTTACATACAGTTTGAGGTAGGGTTCCAATTTTATTCTTCTCCATGTGGATATCCAGTTGTCTCAGCTCCATTTGTTGAAAAGACTGTTCTGTCGTGTCTCTGTGCCCCTTGTCAAAAATCCGTTGACCACAAATGTAAGGGTTTATTCCTGGACTTTCAACTCTTCCGTTGATTTGTATGCCTTTTCTTATACTAGTACCATACTGCCTTGATTACTGTAGTTTTGTAATAAAATTTGAAGTCAGGAAATGTGATTCTCCCAACTGTGTTCCTCTTTTTCAAGACTCTTTTAGCTATTCAGCGTCCCTTGCATTTCCATATGAATTTTAGAATTAGTTTGTTCTCTCTGCAAAAAAAGCAAGATATGGATTGCATTAAATCTATCTACCATTTTTGGAGAGTGCTGCCATCTTAATGATATTTCATCTTCCAAACCAAGAACACAAAATGTCTTTCCATTTATTTATGTCTTTAATTTTTTTGAGTGATGTGTTATAGTTTTCAGTGTGCAAGACTTGCACTTTTGTCAAATTTATTCTTAAGTTTTTTAGTCTTTTTGGTGCTATTTTAAGGGAAAATGTTTTCTTAATTTCATTTTTGGAGTATACATTGCTTGGGTATAGAAATAAAATTGATTTGTATGTTGCTTATGTATGCTGCAGCCTTGCTGAAATCATTTATTAACTCTAATAGTTTTTTATTTGTGAAAGTGGACTCCTTAGGATTTTCTATATACAAGATGTTATCTGCAAATGTAGTTTACTTTTTCCTTCCCAGTTTAGATGCCTTTCTTTTCTTTTCCTTTTCTTTTTTTTTTTTTTTTACTCAAGTACCTGGCTAAAACCTCCACTACTATGTTAAATAAAGTGGTAAAACCAGACATCCTTGTCTTGTTCCTGGTCTTAGGGAGATAGCTTTCAGCTTTTCACTTACTAAGTATCTTGTTAGGCGGACCTTTTATCAGGTTGAGGAAGTTCCCTCTTTTACAAGTTTGTTGAGTGTTTTCATCATGAAGGGTGTCCAGTTTTGTCAAATGCTTGTTCTATATCTATTGAAATGATCATGTGGTTTTCGTCTTTTATTCTATCAATGTTATATATTATATTGATTTCGATGTTAAACTAACCTGCATTCCTGGGGTAAATCTTACTTGGACATGGTGTACAGTTCTTTTTTATATATGATGCTTGATTTGAATTGCTAGTATTTTCTTGAGGTTTTTGTATCTATATTCACACATAATGCATTTTTAATTATAGTAAAATACGCAACATAAAATGTACCATCTTAACCATTTTTAAGTATACAGTTCAGTAATGTTAAGTGTATTCACACTGTTGGGCATCCTATCTCTAGCACTTTTTCATCTTGAAAAACTAAAACTCTATACCCATTAAACAACTCTCCATTATCCCTCTCCTCCCAGCCCCTGGCAACCAGCATTCTACTTTCTGTTTCTATGAATTTGACTACTCTAGGTGCCTCATATAAGTAGATTCGTACAGTTTTTGCTTTTTTGTGACTGGCTTACCTCAGCTTAATATTCTCAAGGTTCATCCATTTTGTAGCATGTGGAAGAATTTCCTTTCTCTTAAGGCTGAAAAATACTTCATTGTGTATACACCACATTTTATTTATCCTTTCATTTGCCAATGGACATTTGGGTTGTTTCCACGCTTTGGTTATTGTAAATAATGCTGCTATGATCCTGGATGTATGGATGTCTCTTTGAGATCTTGTTTTCAATTTTTTTGTATATGTATACCTAGAAATCAAATTGTTGGATTATATCATACATAATGAGTTTTGGGTTTTTTTTTTTTTTTTTTTTACCATTTGTATAAAATCAGAATTCAGATACAATTCACAAATTTTGATTGGTTTATGTCTCCTAAATCTCTTTTAAACTATCACTTCTTCCTGTGTCTCTTTCTTTTTCTTGCAGTTTATTTGATGAACAAACCGAGTATTCTCTGTATTTCCTAAAAGTGGTAAATGGATCTATAGACTTGAACAAATTAGGTGATATTCCGTTCTTTCAAAAGGCACTTAATGTCTGGTTGTCTTTCTTTTTATGATGTTAGTAGCCTTGGGTGATGAGTGCCTACATTATTAACTTATGGGTCTTGAAGAGTGGTGATAGTCTATTATTCCTTCTTTAAAGAGAAACTTTTCATCAGCTATTGGTTAACCAGTGGTATATACAGGCAGTATAGGAAAAGCAAGATAAACACTTAATGCTTCCCCTTTATAAGTTTTCAGTATAATGAGTTGGTTCACTTGCCTCTTCCAATGATGACCTCATACTTTTGTTTGGTATTATTCTGAAATCATGGATTTAAACATATGTGATATGTTTCAACCCACTGTAGTTACTTTTTTTTAATGATGCCTAAACTGTCCCATTTTTGGGCCAGCAGGAACCTATTCAGCCTGGCTCCTAATGTTTTTTTGTCAAGACCCTAGTAATGGATAGCTTCTTTGCTAGTAGTGACGATATCCAGGCCCCAGCTTATACTCCCCCTCCCCTCCAGTTTTAGAATCCATAATTCCCCCCAGAAAGTAATGGGTTTTTGTTTATTTTGTTTTGAGAAATTATTTTAGAAACCACCTTCTGAGAAGTAGGTGGTTTTATTGCTGTTCAGTTGGTGTTAGTATTTGTCTCTAGAAATCTTCAATTGCCAGAGTTAAGAAAACAAACTTAGGAGTTGATACTGATGCTTCCAATACAAATTTAGGACCACAGTGTTTTTACTTAATGTGGTCTACTTTACATCTTATACCCATTCATCTTTAATAAGAATAAATGGTTCTCTACAAGACCAGCAATGAAAGATTTAGACTGTCACAAATAGTCATTTGTTTTATTACACATGACATAACAGTCTCAGAATAACAAAAAGAACACTACTGCCACTGACAAAATAGTTCCTAAAAAGAATTTTCAGTTTTTTCCACTTTTTGGGTATATTCTTTGAGATACTCGTATTACTGTTACAAAGTCCCTTGAAATAGTTCCTCTCTGTGTGGTTATGCTGTCAACTAGATAGACACATTGATTTGTTTCATGTTATTTTCAACTTAGAGATTTTTTAAATGTTCTAATTATGGGATATATTTATGTGGTTCCAAAGTAAAATCTGTAAAAGAAGGAAGTATATTCAATGAAGTCTAGTCTGTACCCCGCTCCTGTACTCTATTCCCCTGTCCCTTTATAAGAAATCATGTTTTAATGATTTGTCCTTCCCTTTTTTGTGACCTATATATTGAGAAACGTAGACATTTGTATCCCTCCCCCCTTTTCTTTTATAAAGAGAATACATTGTGTGCATTTTTCTCTGCCATGCTTTTTGACTGAACAAGATATTCTTGGGGATGCCTGGGTGGCTCAGTCAGTTAAGCATCTGTCTTTGGCTCAGGTCATGATCTCAGGGTTCTGAGATCAAACCCGGCATCAGGCTCCCTGCTAAGTGGGGAACCTGCTTCTCCCTCTGCCTCCCCCAACTCATGTTCTCTCTTTCTCTCAAATAAAATAAATAAAATCTTCAACAAAAAAAACCCCCCAGATATTCTGGAATTATTTTATAGTGATCTGTAGACTTTCATTTCTTCCCCTCCCAACCTTCCACCACATATTCCCCTGTGAGAATGTGCCACTCGTTATTCACCCAGCCCCTTCCTGGTAGCCATTTGGATTGTCCCTACCCTTCGTTATTATAAATAATCTAGCAGCAAATAGCCTTATTTATGAATGTATATTTTCAATTTCTTTTTCTAGTTTATCTTTGGATAGATTCCTAGAAGTAGGATTGCTGGGTGAAAGGTAAATTAACGTAAATTTATTAGATGCTGCCAAATTGTAGTATTTTACATCCCTACTAGCAATGTATGAGTGTGTTGCCAACAAAATATGTTGTCAGACTTTATTTTTTGCCATTCTGTTGGTGAAAAATGGTATCTCTGTGCAGTTTTACTTTGCCTTTCTTTAATAAGCAAGCCAAGTGAGATGTTTTTCTTTTTTTGTTCTAGTTTTTCTGATCAATTCTATTCTTTCTGTTTTTCAGAGTCAATACAGATTTGTATGTGAAGCTATTTTGAAAGTTTATGAAGAAGGATTTGTTAAACCCTTAACTACATCATCAAATAAATAAGAAAGCAAAAGTCTGGGACATGGGTCAGAAAACTGCTTTCTCTTATATTCACTGTGCCATAATTCTGCTTGCAGGAAATGGCATTTAGACAAAACAAATGAAGAACTAACAAAAACTGAAAACTTCAGCACTGTTGCACTTTATGTTTAAGAAAATGTCACTCTCTCAAAATCTGTAATTCACGTGTTTGAAGACTATTTCATGCTTTGCTCCGAACAAATAGTGAATAACTGAGTATGTTCAGGGTAATTTATGAAATTTGTGGTGGTGCCATGCAGTCCCCTTCTGGTAGAATTGCCACAAACAAGGCTCAGAATTATCATCATCTCTGTTATACACCTGTATCTTGAAAGCAAAAAGAAGTAAACATCAGGAGTCAGCTCTGGTGTTTCCCAGTGATTCATGTACTTATTACTATACTGGTTACCAGATTTTTATTTTTTAAATTTTAGCAATATCATTCTCAATATTAGCCAGTACACTGCCTATGGATGCAGCACATCTTTCCCTGTACTCCCCCTGTAGAGACCTGCTGTTCATGAGAAGAAAGATGGAATTTGCTTTTCCCAGGAAATGCTGCACATTGTCCATTTACCAGCATCTTATAGAAAGTATAAATATGAATCTACAAATTTTCTTGAATTTAATAATGTAACTTATATTTATCATAAGGTTGGCTTATTCCAAATCATGTGATTTCACATACTTGATGTAAAGGAATGCATGCATTGTGTCTTAACCCCTTAAGTGCCTTGAGACGTCTTTGTATGTCTAATGAAAAGGCACTCATTTGACCCCACTAGGAGGTATGTATGTATATTGTACATTTACATTTTTATGCATTTTGAATCAGTTCACATTTTAAAACATAGCTTCTTGTATGAAGAGTTACGCAGTCAAAAAAGGGTATGGAAATTCTATTTCTTACTCAGTTTTCCTGTATTTTGCCACAAGAAGCAAAGGTAATTTGTGTTCTACTGAGTGAGCATGCTGCTGCTATGGAATTGTCGAAAATCTGCTCATGCCTTTCCTGCAGGACAAGGGTTACAGTTTAGCAGCTCAAGTCAAAAGATGCTTTATTATTCAAATTTTCTATTTATTTTATCCCTAACTTTAGAAATGGCACCTAATATGCACATTAAAGTTAAACATATTCATATTTTCGCTAAAGATAGAGCAGTTCATTGTGATTTATTTCTATCACTGTCTAAATTATTACTCTAAAGCATTCATTTCAGTTCATTTCAAGCTTTGTTCACACTGGTCTGTTTGTTGGGATACTTCAAACAGGGAATGAAATGTTATTGACTTATTTCTAAATGTAATCCCTCAACTGAAATGAGGGTTTTGCTGGGGTTTTTTTGCATACAATTAAATTACTCTAGTTTATATATACTTACTAAGTTATAAGCATGTTAATATGGAGAGTTTTGATTGTCCAGCCTGATGGAGGATCTGATTCCCTTTAAGGATGTATGTATTTTCCTCTTCAGGATTTTTTTTAAGTCTGTAGAGAGAGAGAACTTTAAAATTGCCCAGTTTTAATATAAGTGGAAACTTGCTCACCTATTGAAATGTTATGTTACACAATTATATGGATTATGGTTAAAACAGATTCATTTCCTAGTGGTTTCCGAATACTTCTGTATAGTCTTGATAAAACTTAGAGTTGAATAGTTTCGGAATGCCATTTAGTATGAGGGGGGAGGATGCACATTTAAGAATCTTCAGTGTAATAGAAATGATGTTATTTCAAATACTCAGAATCCATAATAATAAATTTTAGGAAGTTAAGTCCTAAACATTAATAGCCAAGATATCAAATAAATTATTATAATCAAATATTTTAATTTTTTAAGAGAAAAGTAACATAACCTTTATGTCAGAGAGAAATTCTCCTATCCCTGGGTTTCACAGCCAAGAAAGTATAAATTAGTAAATAACTATAGTCTTATTTGAACATTCCATTCTCTACCAACAGATAAATACAATTTAGGCTGCTCTGTGACATCATGGTAAGTTGAAAAGTGAACAACTAAAATCATGTTGGGGGTCTACATAATTAATAACTGTTTTGATAGTTTTTACCTAAATTAAAATCTGTTCTAACTGTATGGATAGAATATGACAACCAAAAATTAAAAAGATAAAAAGATACAGTTGTTGTATAGATATAAACAGATAAATGTCATGATTGCTATGTTCTTTAACTTACAGTTTTGTTTACACTTCTGAGATAAACTCTAATAATTTGTTGGCAATGAGCACTGTTGCCTTTTGTAATCATTAATTCCAGTCTTTAACTGATAAATATTAGAAGTTTAGAATTACCTTTAAGTTTCTCATATATGGATTTTTCATCTGGTAGCTACCCTCTGTCAGTATTTTTATGTACAGAATAGATCCTTTTTAAAGACATATTTATTAGGATCTTAAATTTAAAATAAATTATCCTTCACAGCTTCTTAAAATGGATATGCTAATTATGCTTCTCTGTTCACCCAACAGATAAGACTTTATCCATTACACCTAAGAATTTTTTAACCTGTTTATCAATCTAAATAGGGTTCTAGGAATAATCCTAGCTTTAATATGCCAAGTAGTTCTAGATTCCATTCATATCAGTGTAATATTGTGTAATAAAATGTCAAATTTCTTGTATCTGAACTACTCTCCCCCTCCTCCCATAACTCCCCTGTTCGCTTACCGCCCCCCCCCCCCCCACACACACACTCTAGAAGTCAGTGCTGACTGTTATTCTCACAAGTGGAAATAGGTATTGGTGAATCAGGGGGCTTTGTAAATGCTAAGAAATGTTTGTGAAAACCTTTCCTCTTTGATTTAAAATGGTTTTACCATGTTCATTTTAAATGTTTTATTGAGCATCCAATTTGTGTCAGCACTGTGTACATAGCATGAAGAATATTTTGGAATAGACTTTAACATTCACAAGAAGAATTGGTAGTATTTGTTAAACAATGCATCCATTCAAAATAGAGGCCGAGTAAACCGTGTAAGAAATAACGTCCTTTGTGTGGCCTGCTAGCACAAGTAGGAGTGGGGGAAGGGGTTGATCGTTATGATTAAGAGTAAGGAGAAAATTTATATATAGAAACTGACTTCAAACTTAAAGAGGTATGGTAAGCCATTAAGACACACACTTTGTGTGTTTATATATTTGTGTGTTTCATAAAGGCTGATGCTAACAGGGGTAAAGGATTATTTTAAGTATAGAGTTGTTTATAATGTGTTGGCAGATCTGATCAGGTCTAATCAGGTATTTGAGCAAAAGTCTTCGGTCTCCACTAGAAATACTCTTAACTTGAGAGCTGAAAGGAACCTGAGTGGTTTTATCTAATCTCACCTTCTCCTATTATTTTAGGCATCATATATGAATATCATAAATTCTTGTGAATTTTAGTCTGTTTCAGCTCAAGAATTATACTCAGGCAGTGTTTTATTTAATAACTATGATGACCTTAGAAGATGTCACTTAATTTAGAAAATAAGTAGGCTTTAAAAGGTGATCCTAATTAGGACCCTGACTCAGTTTGCTAGTCATGCTTCCCTGATAGAACATAAGCTTTTGTAAAGTATTTAGGCTGATACACATGCAGTATGAAAACATTCTGAAATGTAAATTAGAAGACTAATTTTTAAAAGCACTTAAAACATAGAACTAGGATTTAGAATATATGTCCACTTATAATCAAATAATTTATGTTCATAATGTGAACATGTAGTAGAATTAAAGCATTACTTATTTTATAATCTTAAAAGGAAGAAAGAAACGAGAATTTTTAACAATGTTCTATTTAATACCTGTGTTTTGAATATTTAAGATACTCTGATAGTAAGGTTGCCAAAGTAGTTTTGAATTCATTAAAATTATTTATACCACAGTAAGGTGGGATATGTTTACATCTCTTTTATTTTGTAGTTTAGGTGAATTTACATATAAGTCACTTAGAGTAAATACATTATGGTAAATATTTGTTGGGATAAACATCTCTTAATAATATGACATGAAAAAGATGAATTACGTCACAGCTGGCTTTTATGCCACATCAACAAAGTAACAGTATTATCATTGCTTCCCACAGTTGCTTTAACTGTCCAACCACAATGTCTGCAGTCATTTTTGCGTGTATGTTGTTTCCTCCAAGTAAAACAGCTATGTTATTAAAACCCACTAAATTTTCTCAAATATCAGAATTACTGATCAGTTAGCAAAGATTTATTGGTGTCTCAGTGTGATCACAACATAAGTTACAGCAACTGTTTTATGAAATTCTTAGTGAATTGTATAGCTACTAAGGAATTTACATAATAATAAAACATTTTTGAGAGCTAACGGCTAATAGATAAGTAAGTTCAGCAATTTTATAAAGAGCCCGTGAAATTAATCCCTAAAATGTATTTTTGGGGTTCAGCTTACTTTACAATGTCTACAACTGTTAACATCATTTTTTGTTCTATACCAACTTCATTTATTCTTTTTTTCTGACTTCATTTATTCTTAGTAGCAATTAGTACAGTAAGCCTTTCAGTGTTATCAAAAACAAGTCCTATATCAGTAAGAAATTAGACACTTTAATTTCATAATCTTGGTGAAGTTGTCCTGGGTAGACACCAAATAGTTATTTCTGTTTCCATTTCTAGATTTTGCCGCTACTTATTTGTATGTTTTTCTACTGCAGTTTACTGTTGATTTCTAAAGTTTTATAGTCATTGTTATTTTTATTTTAGCAATCCAAGCTAAATGGGCGGCCATAGGTAGTATCTATTGGGGTGCAGTCCATCAACATTGACTAGATGTGGTTCCGTGCATAAAGGAGAAAACCAATTTTTTTTTAATTTACAAAGTGAGAAGTATTAGCAATATTGCAAGTTAAAGACTACAATTTTAGTTGAAAGTCCTAATGTTTAACTTCCTGAAACCTTTTAAAATTTCCAATGAAAGAATGAAAGTGTTTAAAAGCCTTGTGCTCATAAAAGTTTCAGTTAAGCACTGTAGAATTTTCCTACTTATTGTTGTGTAAATTATAGAGAAAGTATTTTTCTATGGACAAGAGATTGAAACTGTTAACTTCTTTTACTTCATTGTGTAAAAAGAAAAATGATATTTGTATGTCTTTCATGCTGTAAGAAAAATGAATGTATCTTTGAAATGTTATTAGAATTATGACTTGATTCTAAGGATACTCTTTGTTTTAAAAAAGTCAGCAAAGGATTGAAAAAAGGAAGAGTGTATTCTACTTCATTATGTAAAATCAGTTTTAGAAGAAAAATGTAATTTTCATTATAAACGAGCAATCATTACTGAAGCATATTTCAAATATAATGTACATTCTTTTTGTTTTGTTTTAGCTATAGTATAGAAAATTTCAAGAAAATTTGTGCTTACTATTTTTAAGTGTAAAATAATTGTAGACTTCTGGAGTGTGGAAGGGTGTTTGTGTGTGAGGGTAAACATTCTGCTGCATGTGTTTACCATGAGGGAACGTTCTCAGGCATTGTCAACTGTGGCAGCCACAAATGAGGACATCGTTGTGAGTGTGACTTTGGTGAAGCCAGAAGTCTGTGCCTCAGATTTACTACAGTAAATATGTGCAGAGGCCCCTGGCAAATAGTTTTGCCTTTTTATTATCTGTATCTTGGACAGATAAGACCACTGAGCCCAGTTCTGACTTGTAACAGTGGTGTCTTAGATGCTTAAGGGTTATTAATTCAGCTGAACAACAACAAAAACCCTACATTTTTAACCATCTTTTAGGCATGATTCATTTGTTCAACGGTCTCTTTAAAGGGTAGTATTTATTAACTATCACTTGTTAAACTTGACTCAATGGGGCCTTCATTATTTTGACTCCTGCTTCCATCCCTCTAACTTTTAAAAATCAATTAATTTCATTTTATAGTAGTCTCTGTGAAGTAAATACCCTGAACAACTATAAGGTGATATCTTTCTTCACTAGCTATTTTTTTAACTGTTTTTAAGAGATTACTATTGGGCCCCCTTCACCCTGAGAGTTTCCAAAATTTAGCAAATACTACTTGTGATAACTTTAACTGAAATGCCACCTTACTAAATGAAATTATCACCATAAAGTCATCAAGGAGGATCAGCCCAGTTTACAATCTTAAACCCAAATAGGTGCTGACGTTTGATTTCCCCAAATCCACTGTAGTCACAATTGAGCCCATTTTACCTTTTATTTAAAAGAAGCTTTTTGGGTTTTGCTCCTGAGTTGTGTTGCAGTTTTTTGCCTTCCCTGGCAAGAAAATTTCAATCCAATTCTGGAACTCTCTGTCACCCATCTTTTCCAACCCTTTGGTGAGTTCACAAGATCATCCAGTCTTTCTTGTATCCTGTAGAGTAGGTCAGATTTCAATGCTGAAATGATTTCTTGAATTTTAAATAGTAGCACTTTATTTCATGCTTACTACTGACTTAATTTATACATTTAAAAATAAAATCTAGGAGTTTTGTAAATATGGAAAAAACTTTAATGGATTAGTATGTAGAGCTCATTGGATTGGACCCAAGTAAAATGCTTTACAATGATCTCTTGGTCTTTTGATATTTAAAAGGTAACTTGTGTGATTTTAGCTTTGCCACTTTTCTGTAATTTATTTAGTACAGTAAAGACTACCCAGTTGACTGTCTTGCTGGACTCTTGAGTTCTCTCAGCTAGCTTCAACCAGGTTTGGTTTACAGTAATCATTTCTGCTTTGCATTTTTTATACATTACATGAACACTTGGAAATCCATTTGTTTGGTTTTAAGTTGTAGGTAGGGGTTAAGTCAATACTGCACCACAAGTAAGTTGAAGAGGGCAAAGTCCTGACACTTTATATACATGTCAAGGGGCAGGATTTAAGACACTAAAAACAGTTTACATTAAGCTGTTTTCATTTTCTATCATTAGAATATTTGTGCTTAAAAAAATTAAAAACTGTCCACCCAGTCTTCTCACAGCATCAGGACATTGCAGTTACAAATCCATATTGTAATCTTTTCAGATGAGAAAAGCTAGTCTTTATTTTCTACAGTGTAGGCTTAATTTTAGGACAGATAATTTACTATATACTCATCAGTGATATTTTTAAGTAGTTTTACAAATAATTATTTCTATGTAGAGGGTGTATTAATTTGGGATTTTTTTTTCTTGTAACAGGTGCTATATGTAAATATGAAGGGCGAAAAGTCACTTAGTTAAAAGTCTAGTTTATTTCATAATTAAAATATGATTTTGCATTTCTGCTGTCATTTCACGTTTGATCGTACTGAACTAGTAGCAAAATGGAATTAGCCCCTTAATTTTTTTAACTATCTTCCCTCATTTCACAAAAACAACTCTTTGCGTATGGTTTGTTTCCATAAATAAGAGGCAGAGAAGCTTAGGATTCATTTAAAATGTGTAAGCTTGAATTTGGTCAACACTGGATAATTTGAAATCATACCCTGCATCTGTCACTGCAGCTTACTGTATGCTTGAAAGGCCTTGTGTATTTGTCTTAATTTCAGTGAAAAATTAGAATTCCTGCCGTTTATTCATGTAAAAAAATCTGTGAATACTAACAGCAGACAGGATAAAAATGCCGATTTGCATTAAAACTGCTTGAGTCCTAAGAGCGATTATGTTAACGTGAAATGCTTTTACACATATTTTGTTGGCCATATTTCATTTTGATTGAACAATAGTTAGTTGTTCAAGGTACAAACGTGAAAAAACTAGCTGTGACTTTTAATTGTTCAATTGCAAAATAAAGATATGCTTTAGTAATTTAAAGTATAGGAGTTTTGAAGATTATTTTTTGTTGTTGGGCTTGTCTAACACTGGTTATATTCATTAATGGGTGATCAAAAGGAACTGGGAGATGCTAAGTGCAAAGTTTATTTCTAGAATTCCTGGTTCACTAGTGGCTGTGTGTGGGGAGGTGGGGTAGGGTTATTAAGTAAGGAACTAAAAGGGATTTAGAGGATTACAGAATGAGGAAATACTCCTCCTTCACTGTGACCACTGTTTGACTCCTCTCTTCTCCCAGCACTAGCCCCTCTTCTGGTATTCCTAACATAAGATCTTGTCAAAGTAAGGGACCTTTCTAAATTACATATTGATATCCTTTGCTTATTTTTATATCAGGTTGTTTAATGTTTTAATCATATGAGATGTTGGAAATTTAAAAAATTAAGTCACTTGACAATCCTATATATTTATATGTTGCAAACCTTTTTTCTTATGGTGTTTGACTTTATTCTTTTGGGGGGTTGGAGGGACGTGATGACATTTTTTAATACTTTTATTAACAAACGTATCAATCTTCTCCTTAGTGACTTCTGAGTTTGGGGTATACCTGCAAAAGCTTTTCTCTAATCCCTATTAGCATTCCATCTGTGACTGAAAGCTCTCTTAACCACCATCCAAGTAACCCACTCAGACTGCACCCAGCTTTCCAGTCTTTTTTATTTTTTAAGATTTTATTTATTTGTCAGAGCAAAAGCAGGGGGAGCAGCAGGCAGAGGGAGATGCAAGCTCCCCACTGAGCAAGGAGCCCATGCAGGACTCCATCCCAGAACCCTGACCTGAGCCGAAGGCAGGTGCTTAAGCAACTGAGCCACCCAGGCGTCCCTTTACTTTTCAGTCTTGTTTTCTTGCCACCATCGACTGCTCTTAATCATGCCAGAACTCTTTCGGTTCCAATTAGGTTGTAAGCTTACTAAAATTAGTTGTGTTTATTTGCTAACCTATACATGCAAATTTATGTTTATTACATAAGTCAGTGAAATGTGTGTGAAAAGCAAGAGGCTTGGGTTTTTGCAAAAGCCTTATGGTGTCATTAAAACTTTATTAAAAATAGGTATGAGCAAGAAAACTATGAGAGACTAACAAAAAATGATGTATTTGAGGGGCACCTGGGTGGCTCAGTCATAAAGCGGCTGCCTTCGGCTCAGATCATGATCCAAGGGTCCTGGGATGGAGCCCCGCTTTCTGCTCGGCGGGAAGTCTGCTTCTCCCTCTCCCACTCCCCCTGCTTGTGTTCCCTCTCTCTGTCTCTCTGTCAAATAAATAAAATCTTTTTTAAAAAATGATATATTTGAAAAACTAACAAAAAAATAGATGATACTCTCGGGGTCTGTTTTTTTGCAACAGAGACTAAGGGACTATAATTAGGCTCAAACCCAAAGTAAAAGACTTTGGCCCTACATAAAAAAAATCACAAATAGATATTTATCTGCCTAAGGCTAAAACAAAATGCATGTATTTTTTTATTTCTCCTTTAAATGGTTTTTTATTTAGCCAACTGGTCATTAGTTTTGATCCCATCAAATATGGTTTCTACCATAATTATGTAAAAACTTCTCCCTAATATTTTGACAGTTTTTAAGTTTTTGCTATTAAAAATGATAGTTAACCTTTTACATATTCCCTTTTAAATTATGCTTATACAAATGGGTCAACTATATATAAATTTTCCCCCAACATTGTGTTATAAAAATGTTCAAACATAGAGAAAGTTGAAAGAATTGAACAGTTAACATCTATATACCCATCCCCCAGGTTCTGTAATTACCATCCTGCTATATTTGCTTTATTACTTGTCCATCTACCTAAGCCTCTCCATCCATCAATAAGTCTTTTATGCATTTCATAAAATGATGTTGCCTACATCTGTATACTTCACCCCTGAGCACTTCAGCTTGCATATCACTAATAGTCAATAATTATCTCCTTTTGACATAAAATTTTTATCAGTAAGATAAATATTAAGTCTACCAGTCAGTACTTTCTTTTTTTTAAGATTTTATTTGAGAGAGAGAGCAAGAGAGAGCAGCAGCACAAGTGAGAGGGAAGAGGGAGAGGGAGAAGCAGACTCTGCTGAGCAGGGAGCCCAGGGCAGGGCTCCATCCCAGGACCCCGAGATCATGACCTGAGCCGAAGGCAGATGCTTCACCATCTGAGCCACCCAGGCACCCCTACCATTCAGTAAGTTTTAACAAATGTGTATATTTATGTAACTCAAACCCCTATGGGGATCAACAGGTACAAACTTAGTTATAAAATGAGTAAGTGAAGGGGATGTGCAGCATGGTACTATAGTCAGTAATACTGTATTGCAAATTTGAAAGTTGATGAGAAAGTAAATCTTAAAAGTTCTTATCACAAGAAAAAAATATTTTTAACTATGGTCTCAGATGGTAAGTAGACTTACTGAGGTGATGATCATTTCACAATGTATACAAATGTCAAATCATTATTTTGTATACCTGAAACTAATATGTTGTATATCAACTATACTTCAATTAAAAAAAGGGGGGAGGGGGTGATGCGCCTGGCTGGCTCAGTTAGTAGAGAATGTGGCTCGTGATCTCCGGGTTGTAGGTTCAAGTGCCACGTTATGTATAAAGATTACTTAAAATCTTAAGGAAAAAGCCTACACAGAGATTTGACAGAGAACCATTTCCATCACCGGAGAGAGTTTCCCTTTCCCCCATCACCTTCACTCCCTTTATTAGTTTTCTGGGGCTACCATAACAAAGTACCACAAACTGGGTGCCTTAAAATAACAGAAATTGATTGTCTCACAGTTCTAGAGTCCAGAATCCAAACTCAAGGTGTTGGCAAGGCCATGCATCCCCTGAAGGTGCTAGGGAAGGATCTATGCCACGTGCCTGTCCTAGCTTCAGGTAGCCTTTGACCTTCCTTAGCTTTTTTTTTTTTTTTTAAAGATTTTATTTATTTGACAGAGAGAGAGAGAGTGAAAGCAGGAACACAAGCAGGGGGAGTGGGAGAAGGAGAAGCAGGCTTCCTGCTAAGCAGGGAGCCCGATGCGGGGCTTGATCCCAGGACCCTGGGATCATGACCTGAGCCGAAGGCAGACGCTTAACGACTGAGCCACCCAGGCGCCCCGACCTTCCTTAGCTTTTAAATACACCACTCCAATCTTCCATCTTTTTTTTTTTTTTTTAATTTTATTTATTTATTTGAGACAGAGAGAATGAGAGAGACAGAGAGCACATGAGATGGGGGAAGGGTCAGAGGGAGAAGCAGGCTCCCCGCTGAGCAGGGAGCCCGATGCGGGACTCGATCCCGGGACTCCGGGATCATGACCTGAGCCGAAGGCAGTCGCTTAACCAACTGAGCCACCCAGGCGCCCTCCAATCTTCCATCTTAACATGGCCATCGTTCTATAAGGAAGCCAGCGCATGGATTGGATTGGATTAGAGGCCCATGCTCCTCCAGTAGCACCTCATTTTTTTAACTAGTTACATCTGCAATGACCCTATTCCCAAATAAAGTTACATTCTGAGGTACTGGCCATTACGACTTCAAAATATCTTTTGTGGGAATGGACACAATAAAACCTACAACATAATCAGAAGCGGTGAGTATTCCAAATTCTTACAGATTAGGTTTACCTGTCCTAGAATTTTTTATACATTAATCTATATATATATTCATTTTACTCAAAATTTCTGAGATTCATCCATTTCTTGTTTTTATTAGTAAGTAGTAGTCCATTTTATTAATATAACACAGTTTGCTTATCAGCCTCCTTTTAATGGGTAGCTGGACTTGGAGACATTCTCAGTTTGTGGGATTTTATCAACAAAAATGCTATGAACAGGGCACCTGGGTGGCTCAGTTGGTTAAGCATCTGCCTTCTGCTCAGGTCATGATCCCAGGGTCCTGAGATCCAGCCCTATGTTGGGTTCCCTGCTCAGCGGGGAGTCTTCTTCTCCCTCCTCCCACCCTGGTCACACTCTCTCTGTCAAATAAGTAAATAAAATCTTTAAGAGAAAATGCTATGAACATTCCTTTACAAATCTACTTGTGAACACATGCTTTCATTTCTGAGTAAATATCTAAGAGTGGAATTGGTGGGTACATTAAGTATATCTTAAGTTTTTGTTGATACTGTCAAAATTGGCTTCCAAAAATGAATATCACTTTATAATCTCATCAATAATGCATCTGTGTTTCCACCTTAGTGGATATTGTGACTCTTTTAATAATGTTCTCATGTAATAAGATATATTCAATATGATTTGCAAGATGGAATATCTTTTTATATGTTTATTGGCCATGCATATTTCTTTTCTAGTGAATTGCTTACTCAGGTCCTTTGTGTTTTGCAACTTGGTCTATTTAAAAAAACAAAAAGCTATTTGGGCCATGAGGGAGTAATAGGGTCCAGAGTCATCCTCCTGGTGTAAACAACTGGAAAACAGGACAAAATATAGGAAACAACTTTTGCAATATTGGACAAAAGTTGAAGAAGACTATAATTCCTGAGAAAAGATAAATAAGTGAGGTGAGCCATATGATAAGCTAGGTTTCCTTTGTCAAGGCAATTTATAAACTGATGCAGGAATATGGTGCCCAAACAAGACTGGTAATCTTGCTACCTAGGAGAGAGGTGTCAAAGTTTTGGGAAGCTGGGGCTGTTAGAAGGTATGGAGCAAAGTTTCAGAGAGTAGTAAACCAATAAATTTACATAGGAGTCACTTTGTGTCCTAGACTGAATAATCTTCAAATATGGTGAAACCCCGTGAGGCCAGACAAACTTCTAAGGAAAGATAATTACCAAGTTGTAGGATGAATATTTTCTGGGCTGGCCACGAGGATGAGAATAATTCAAGTTTCTTTCAGCTAGAGTGGGGAAACCTCTTTGAAAAGACAAGGTAGTCAGCCAAAACCCAAGAAAGGCCAAACTTTAGAAATGAGGCTAACCAAGCTGTAGGGTAAAAGCTACTCTAGACTCATTTAGAAGATTTTTGAAACAAGCT